CGCGGGGGGAACGACCACGACCGCGAGTCGCGTGTGACGAGAGTCGTGAGCGCCGATTACGTCTTTATTACGCCGAGCGCAGATGGACGTGCGCTCAGCGAGATTGACGAGGGAGAGAGACCTCGGCGTGTATACGATCTGCGCGCGCTTTTCCAATGACTTGCTGCGTCGCTACTATCGCCAATCTACCCACCGCCGCCACTGCCGCTGCTTCTTCTTCTTCGTCTTCTTCTTCTTATTTCTCAATGGACTCGCCGTAGATTGACACCTCCACGATTAGCCGCGCGTTTATCTATAAGCTACTCTGATCGATTGTTTTTAGATCGTTCGATCATTTGTTTTAATTGTCTGAACTGTAATTAACGGACGATAACCTCAATTTCTTTTCGTATGCATTAAAATGCTTTTGTCATCAGAAACAAATTGTTATTCTGTAGTATCGTAAACAATAGTATTCAATACAGTATTTAATCATTTAAATATTATTAACAACAGAAAGTATTCGTTGGAAGATAAATTCTGACACTTGGTGAAAACTGTAGAAAGTAATTATTCAGTTATTAAAATGTCATTGAGTATAACTTAATTATCAGCCTTCGGATGATTTTTACATCTCCGAAAGCTCAATATGCCATCACGACATTCAGTAGTACAAGCCTGTTTGGTCAGACGTATACAATAACGTATAGAAATTTGAAATCTTTTCGACATAGCTCGAATACACTTTTGTATATACGCCAACGATTGTTTCATAAGAGCAGCGTATATTTAGACGAATAGGCGAATTCAGCAACAATCCATACCTAAAGCCATTTGTTTAATCCGTTAAATTACAAGCGCAAATTCTTCGTGAGAAAGAAATCGCGAATACAAAAATCTCTTGTAAAATGTCCGCCCTGTCGACCCCAAGTGCGGTGGCGAATGTCAGAGTGTCGTAAAACACCAGCTATCGCGTGTTTTTCACCCGTCTTCGGCTTCTGTATGCTCACGTATATAATACGCTCACGGCCACCTCTATTTTTATATTCTTCGTCTTTAACAATCACCAAGTTCTTCCGTGCTAGACTGCGAAATCAGAAGAATAGTCTTTGTTTTTTGATTGTTTAAACAAGAGTTGAGGCACTGATCATCAAGCACATTCCGTCACATATAACAGTTCTGTAGAGTTGCTATAGTTGACTGATAACGTATTCGATTGAAGAACTTGAATAGTCCAAGTCCGTATCTTGTAATCCACGTCGTTAACAGTGGTAAAAGAAAAAAAGTTTGTTTTTTCGGTCAGTGAACTGTTCCTCAACGGTGATAATATTTCCCCGGCTCAGCTGCCATTTTCCACTGAAGGATCGACCGCCGACAGCGACAAACGTCAGCGGGAGAGCGAAGGCACGATTAATTCGTCGGATTCCCACACGGACTTTCCGTTTTAAAATCCATCCGATCGAGTCTATGAAACAAAACTACACGATGTCGTCGGCATGCGACAAAAGTAAAAGATGTCCTAAGCGACAGGGCGGACAAAGCCGACAAGCAAAATGGAAGAAGCGAAATTCTCGAGCTAATCAATATTCAAGCTCGGCCTGGCAATAATTAACATTCTGAAAATCAGAAGAAGCGGCCTTCTGCGAGAGCGTGTCGTGCGCTCTAATTTATGCATCCCTTGGCTCCTCCTCCGCGCGGCGACGGCGGCGGCTCTCTTTCTCCGGAGGCAGCGGATAAACGCTGAAAACGAGAAACACGAGCGACATTATATGGGACATTAACATACAAAGTATGTCAGAGCCGCGGGCGTAGGCGCTTCTCCGCGCTCGTTTTGCTCTCGCTCCGAAAAGCCGCGGCCGGAGAGGTATAGCGCAAAGCAGGCGCAGCGGAGAAACTGTCGCGCCGAAAGAAGAATGAACGCGCGTACGCGATATAAGTGCGGCTGCTGCGGATTTGCATTCGGGTTCAATGGATGTCGCGGGCTAGCCCGTGCGTATATATATCAGCCGCGGTCGACCTTCCGATTGACGATCGTGCCATCCCCACCACCCCACCCCCTTCTTTTTTGCTCCCTATGCTTTCCACTTGCCCGATGCCAGCTTCACTCGATACACGTCGTTTTGTATAGGCGACAGTTTTGTATTCGGTATGTCCTTGCCAAGGACGACTTCGAGTGCGCACTTGTGCCGCCGCGGCCGTACCAACTTAATGTGACTTTAATTAGCTGCATATCAACGTGCGCTCCGACTCCTTATTTATTCCGTTTTTTATCCTCTGCGTTTCCATTTCCTTTTATAGCGCCGAGTCAGTTTGCACGTGCCAGTGAAATTTAACAATTCGGTATATATGATTTTCTTTTCGAGATAGAGGCTGGGCTAATTCGATGTGGACAGAGTTTGCATACTAATTAGTAAAAAACATCCTTCGTTGACGTTCGGCAAAAGAGCTTTTCATGACTTGTAGGAAATATCGAGTTTGCTGGGGGATGAGAACAGACGTACTTAATTACACGTACAGATCAGAGAGAAACCGAATAAATACTTTGAAAGACAAAAAAAAACTTAAAATTGGCGAAGTTCGTGGAAAAGCTAATGCGAGAGCAATCCATATAAATACGAATAAAAGGAGCCTCGGTGGGTAGCAAAAGAGAGAGAGAAAGAGAGAGAGAGAGAGAGAGAGAGAGAGAGAGAGCGTCGCAAGAAACGCAAATAAGAAGAGACGGCAAAGAGAGTGCGGTAAATAGGCCCCCACATCTCTCGAAGAGACTTAAAACACCCAGAGCAGAGCAAGAAAGCAGCGGCGGCCGATTCGCTTCATCGCCGGTGGAGAAATAAGAAAAAAAGGCGCAAGCCAGCGAGCAAGAGGAAAGAGACAAAAAGAGAGGAGCATGAATCGGAAAGGGGACAACTATAGGAGGAAGAGGGTGTATAGGGAAAGGAGAGCTGGCTGCAGCAGCAGAAGCAGCAAGAAAAAGTAAAAGATGAATAGGAAGAGGAGAGAGAGAGAGAGAGAGAGGCTCCCGCGGCTTCGGACACAAAGACGCGAAGAAGCAGCAGCCCCCGAAGACATATATAGCAGCGTTTACGCTGCCAGGCCATCTTCCAGCAACCTGCAAAACGAACAATCCCAAAAGGATTCTCTCTGCCTAGGCTTATCGCCTGCGACGATATTATATACGGGTTTGTCGCTGCGCTAGCGAGCTTTCTTTCTTCGCCGCGAGCTTGCCGCACTTTGTTGATTTAATGATGCTGCTGCCGCTACTTCCAGAGCCAGCCGACTCTTAACAATCGTTATGCGTTTTACTTTTACTTTTTTTCTTATTTTTTTTCTGTTTTTTCTTTTTTTTTTCTTTTTTTTTTTATTTATTTGCTGCGCCTTACTTTGCATTCGTAGCTGCGTACGCGCATCGCTGAGCTGTTGTATAAACAAGCTCAAAAATATCTTTGTGGCAATGTTGGCTGCAATATCCTTATTGAAGAGCGTGCTCTTGCAAGCCATTGGTTGCCAACGAACACACATGACTTTTTTTGTCGTTAACGAATTGCTATAAATTTGTTACGCAATGCATACATACCTCGTGTTAGAAATAATGAACGTAGCCAAAGCGCCGCAACGAAAACTGGATCAATGAATCCGATTTAATAGCTTCTCTCGATAACAATCTCGGATGATTATCAGGTAGAAAGCGAACCGACCGTTGCTACTGATTAGCTCTCCTGATAGAATATTCATAAAAATTGCAGGTAAATAAGCTTTTCCAACTTATCTGTTATTTATAGTGGAGTTAATTGATTTTTCCAGGAACAATTTATTGGATAATCTGTATATTATTTACGATAAACTTTGATTTTATATTTCCTGTAAATACATTTTTCCTATTCCTATTTCTATCGTAGTATTTAACATTTTTCATAAATTACTATGAGCGAGTATGGAAAAAACGGGGTAGCAAAACTTAACCAATTAATTTTTGTCAAGTATCTTTCATTAGTGTAAACAGATCTATCTAGCAAAATTTTAGTTCACTATGACTTCATTTAACTGCTTGTAGCATTTTAGTTGATTTTCTTTCACTACTCGTTCTATACATGGAACTCTAATTTTTCAAATGAACTATCAACTTGTAAAAATTTAAATATTATTGTCGTTAGATACCGTTAGATTTCACGTAAATATTATGCTGAACTTAAATTAAAGGGCCAGCGCAAACATCGCATTTAAATGTCGGTAGAGCATAGATGGAAAGGCAAACGACTAAGAGCTCATGAACATGATCAAGGCAATAACAAAATTAAATTTACTAGAATAAATATGGTCAGTTTTATTATATATGTTTTTATCTTACATGATCACGTTCACAAAATGCACATTAATTCGATACAATAAATGATTTTATCAAACAGTAATCGTAATTATTACATTTTCGTCAAAAGTCACCGCGGTTTCGCTAAACTCTTTCTATTTTCCGATTGTTATTATTAGAAAAGTGCGTCTTACATGATTTTCGAGTATCATGGTGCAATAATCCGCCGTTTGCACACTAATCCTCTAAGATCTCGAGTGAAGTAGATGAGCTTCTCCTTATTTTTCCTTAAAATCTCCGGAGAACTCGCAGAGTCAAGGTCGTTATCAGCAGTTATTAGTTTGGAGATGTGTGCGTATGCGTGTGTATGCGTGAACCATCTGGTAGATCTCTGTATGATTCTTGCTCGAAGATAGTCTTGAGCTACAGTTGACACACACACCACGTCCTTGTCGATGACAGAGAGCCTAAGTTACTTCTGATACAGCGCGCGGCTGTCGTCGCTCTTAAATCCTCGCGGAGCGAATATTAATAATAATTTTTTATTATTAAAACAAGCAATTTTAGAAGGAAATTTGGTACGCAAGATGACCATCAAAAGGCGAGAGACCGCTTAGTAGCGAACAAATGAGACATAAAATCTCATTGTTACAAACTAATATAAAGATTTTGCACCATTGCATTTATGAAAATAATACAATAAATTTCTATATTTAAAGTTTATTTTTGCATTACATATTATGTTCAAAAATCATTTTAACGGTAAACAAGTAAAAAATCATTTGGTGTTTTGCTATGCATGATGATTAAAATACACGCAATAAATACAATGACAAAAATTTCAAAACAAAAAATCTTCTTGTAGAAATATAAAAATACTTTTAAAATGTTAACAAATATGTTTCTCTAGATTACATGATTCGGTAAATACATTGTCTCCGAAGTAAATGCTTATAAAATAATTAGACTAACATTCAGATTTTCACTTCGGTAATTTCTATATACAATATTATAAAATTCAATATATTTATAAAATATAAGATCCTTTTTCTTTAGCTTCTTCAAGAAGTTATTAATAATGCTTGATCTATATTCCAGAAAAACGTAGTACTCTTTTGATAGCAATAATTTTTTACTTTGACTTATTGATCCTTACTAAATATCCTTTTGATGACAGAACTCCTCTACACCGTAAATGTATTTGATAACGTGCTGCCCAACTCATTTGACTATCAGCGCCAAAAAAATCTGTTAATGACTCTTTAGGCAAAATTGCTGAAAAATAATACGATAAATAAATTCCTTTATTATAAAATAACTAATGTTTTTATTAGTAATTTTTTAACGTAAACTAATAATATGTATTAATTATTATATTTCATATAAATTATGTATGTTAAACTTAATGTATTATCAACCACTGCAAGTTAATCTAATCAACTAAATAAATAAATAAAAAAAATAAATTGACCAACTTTACCAGAATCAAATTACTTTAGATTCATGAAACACTAATACAGTACAAATAGAATTAATTATAACTTTTTTTAAATAATCACTCAATAAAAGTTTATATTTATTACACTTACGATTTGGGTCACTATGAGTTAATAACTGAATATCATTTTGTTTAGTGAATTCTTGAAGAGCAGGTGGAACAACACAGCATGTAGCAAGATTGATTTGAATGATGTCTGGTTTTACCTAAGAAAACAAAGTATATTTTTATAAAAGTTATTGAATGCCATTTGTTAAATTTAGATTTAATTCATAACATACTTTAGCCCAGTTATATAGTTGTATAAATTTTTCTGTATCCAGATCACTAACTCCAATGCTAATTAATTTTCCATTGTTTAAATATTCTTCCAGCACCGTCCAAAGACATTGTATTGATGATAGAATATCATCTTCATTTTCTTCTTTATTTAAAACAATTACCAGTGATTCAATTGCATTGGTATTTAATATTTTACATACTGAAAAATATATTATCGTTATACGTAATAATGCTTTTGTTAGTATAATCAATGGAATATGCAACAATCAATATTAAAATAAATTGTATCTTAAAACAACTATTTATTAGTCTACTTAGAAATCAAAGAAATTCTATAAAATCTAATTATTGACATAAGAATTATTTAATAAACAAAAGTAACATAATTGTTACCTTCATCTATAGCCTCCTTGAGATATTTCGTATCTGAACTGGATAAAAATATCTTAACAGTTATTTTTTGTTCTTTTCTATCTGTATTTTCAGAGTTTATATCAATACCATTACTCTGAAATGAATACACAGTATATAGCATTTGTAATAAAATAACTCTTAGCTGGGTAGATTACAATAAAATTATCTAAAATACTCACAGCTTTTGAAGATTCACCATTGTTCTGAGAATCATCCAGAGTAATTTTGAGAGCTTCGATCAACTGTGAAATATAGAAACATCATATCAGATGAAATTTTGTCTACTTTAAATTAAACATGCTAAAGTACTGAATTATTGATTGTGAGCATAATAAAATAACATACCTCATCTCTAGAATTTAGTCCTGCCTTTTTTTTCAACTCATTCAATAATAGTATATTACCAGTGCTGTATAAATTATTTTCCAGCACCATGATTTCAAACAATTACCTTCACTTGTACACTTTATACTGAATTGCCTCAGAAAACGACAGGTGAATTTATACTAGCTAGATAGTAAAAGTGTACAGTCACTTCCCAAGTATTGTCTGCTAACGCACTGAATATTATGCCTGATGACACAATCAGTCACACTTCATTGACTATATAAGTCTATTATTGCGCTCCTGTTTGAATATTGTCTATCCCGTATGATTACAAAAACGAGCACGTGCTCAATAAAAATTATTTGTTTTTCTATGGAGGCAGCGGTCGGTAAATACAATCAAATATACCCTGATGAAAAAATAATTGATTTTCATAAAGAATGTTTCTTAATTAGCTTTGTCTTAATTCGTACCATCTAAAACTAACAATTTTACAATTTGCATCCCTCGCAAAAGCAAAAAAATCTAAAAAATGAGATCTTGAAAAATTTATACTTTTAGCACAAAAATGTTAGATTTTCGAAAAAGAAACAATATAAATAAATTTATTTTAATTTTTACCATCTACAAATTCAAAAGTTACAATTTGTATCTTCCTGTGAAAAAAATAAATCAGGTTTTTCAGAGTATAACATTGATAGTACTTTTCTTTACTAGATGGCGGTGGGTCTCTTAGCTGAGACTCCGATATGCCAAAACGCAACATTGATAGTATCTCCTACGCATGCGCTACTGGAAAACCATCATTTTGGCGCGAAAGTATTTGAAAATTATCATTTTAGACATAAATATTGGATTTTGATAAAAAACCAAAGCTATTTACTTCGATTTAATTTATATCATCTAAAAATAATAATTTCATTAATTGTATTCCTCGGAAAAGTAAAATAAGAACTAAAAAGGAAATATTGGAAAATGTTCATTTTCGAAAAAAAATAAACAATGTAAATGGACTATTTCATTAAATTTGTGTTAACAAAAACTAATAAAATTATTATTTTTATTTTTCTGCAAAAAAATTAATCAATTTCTTTTAGAGTAATATTGATCAAATCTCTGTATGACAGTATAGCTCTCCAAAAGCCATTCAATATGCAAGCATACGATTGCAATATATCCATGCACATAGACTACACGGACATCTATTCGCGACCCGCGATTTTCAAAATCTAAATTATTTTCGACGATGGTTAATCGTCGAAATGATGTTTGTCCTTCTTTATGTAAAACATAAAATCAAACGATTATTAAAAAACAATGAGCGTTATTACAACATGATTAAATAACGAGAAGCCAAATTTACTAACCAAATTCACGGATATATACGAGGGAGTATAAAATATAAAAATTTTATCAAATCAGTGCATGTTGATATTGATAATACGTCATATGTTACGTAAACCTTTAATAGTAATGTTTCGCCAGTGCTTAAAAGCTCTAATTATTCAATACGGCAATTGCAAATGATTTTAAATTAATTTCCTAAAACGTACACTCTAAAGAGTCTATAGTTTGCGCATTATAATGAAATCATCATAGACATTTTTCTCAATGCTTTCGTTGATAAAATTAATGAACTCAACGATAAAGATATATTATGCTCAATCGACGGTTATGTTAAAAACGTTGGACTTTGTCCTATTTGTTGTTGCGTTAATGCGCGTGCTCATTACGCAATGCAAGGATTTAAACAATACAGTTTACGTATTTTAAATTCAATTGATGGATCTGAAAAGTGTACAAAACATTAGGTATTTTTAATTGAAGCTGTACATATTTAAAAAAACGAATTAATTGTAACACTTGACCTAAAATGAGCTGGAAACTTGTTAAAAAAATTTCTTAGTAAGACTAAAAAACACCTAAATATCACTTTATCACTTACGATGTACACTCAGCATGGGTTGGATGTTGTAGAATTTTTTTTTAATTAGCATAGCGTCAAGTTCCGGTGAGGTGAAAAACTGGCGTAAAAATTTGACATTAGGGTTAGGGATCAGAGGTTTTTGACTCGACTTATATTCTTCATGTCCACCAGCAATGTTGATTTTGACGGCAAAGAAGGGATTTGGTACACAAAATTCTGAACAAATCATCTAAATAATTAATTATAGTTATAAATATTCTGAATTTTCCAGAATACACCCCAAATTATATCTTTTATCTTTTTTACCAAAAACTTTTATAACACTTGAGATTCAAATCTGGCAAATGAATTAACGTATGTATCACAATTATAATAAAAATTATAATAAAAATCATGTCACAATTATATTATAACATATACTCAAAATGTTATATTCTCAACAAAATATGATGTATCTGTAAATTGAAATCAATAAAAGAGAACTGTTATTACGTATAAGTTGACTTTTTCATTTTTTAGATAAAAAAATGACATAATAATTAATTTTGACGGAAAACATTTAAAAGACCTTCTACAAGAAATTCAAGGTCATACATCGGCAGGACTGCAGGTACCAGTGTATCACCAAGAGCGACGACAGATGATGAGACAATAAGCTGGGGGCCTATTCTGAAAAAAAATTTTAGCACATGTCATAAGCATTTATCACATCTAAAGTGATTAATTCTGTGGTAAACTGAAGTGACAAACTGATTTACCACAAAATTTTTTTTCAGAATAGGCCCCCTGCGTGCCGCGTCCGGCAGCCGGCACGTGCTACCCAGAGTCCTGGATGACCGACTCACATATGAATACCCACACATTAACATTCATACATACATTCTGTAAAAACATGTTACAAAATACAATATAACACTCTTTTTCATTATATTGATTATAATTTATATATTTACTATTTCGAATAATTTATATACAAATTACTTCCTTGCTTTGTAAAACCTACAACAATTAATTGTTATAACAGAGATTAGGAGGGAGATTGTTAAAGGAATCGCCACATTATTGAGTTTTGTTTGGGCGTACCTAGTGGCCACTATTGGAACTATATATATTTAATCAACGAATATAGACACAGTATGATTTTATGTATAGACATATACCTCCTTATTTTTATTAAAGTCATCGATTTCTACTTAGGTATTGTTTTTATTTCAATTATTTTAAGTGTATACAATTTTCTTATTGCAATTAATAATTAAATTTACTGCATTTATAAAATATATAATATAATAAAATAATTAAAAAATTAAAATGTTATAATATTGCAAAATACACGAAAAAGCTTATAAATATTTTATCGATATATTGATTATTTAGTAAAATAATTGATCATATTAATGTTAATTAATTAACAAGCAAGCATAACACTGTAAATATCTAACCCTAATGTAATATATTCCTTAATAAAAATGTTAAATACTTAAAAAAACGATTACAGAATCCGGTTTATATCGTCAAATACGTAGTAAAATATGCTATAAAGTTTTCCGAAAAATTTATTATTTTCATAGCAATACATAGAAATTAATTGAATTGATAATATTCTTATTTTATAATCTATCGGAACTCTGTCACTATTTAGTCCAGTCATATTAAAATTGAAAATGGATGTGGATGAACCATAATGAATTTTTGTTGCAATCGTTTAAGAATAAAGATCGATAATTTGCTAACTCTAAATATTTTAAGCTTTGGTATTTATACAATAAACGTTTATAATTAAAACAAGCAAAAATAAGGGTATTTTTAGGCTTATTTTGTGAATTCTAGGATAAAAAGTTACTGAACAAAATTAATTTTATATATCGTACAGTTTACTATAAAATCCCGTTATTCTAAATTAAAAAATTCCATTTACAGCGGCCATAGCGGAGATAAAGAATAACAGAGAAAGTGACAAACAGCTGTATTTCTGCATCAATATTTTCAATTTTAGATAATATTAATGATTATAATTTTAATTTATTCATCATATTTAAAATTGAACATATCAAATGCAAACAACTTTGTTTCAATATTTGTTATAGTTGCTGATAATCGTATTACTAAAAAAACTTACAGAATTACTGAATTAATTATTTCAGAATAAATTTAATCACTTTTGTGGAGCTCTCAACTCAAAATCTCAAGAATAATCATGTGAGCCCTTAAAATCAATTGAGTTTTTTTGCCTAGCTTACTAACAAGATTTGCATCAAATTATGCTAATCTAATCCAATCCTCATGAATCAAAAATTGAATTTGTTATCAATTCACTTAGCAACTCATGAGAATCCTTCGATCCAGTTCAAATTATTAATTAAAAAATCTATTTTCAGCATACTCATTGGCTGACCTTTTCTTTTTCGAAGTAGACAGAAAAATCGTAATGAGGAATTAAGCCAAATATTCGTTTGCGAGTTTCGTCGCTTAGCGAACTAGCCAGATTTGTATATCAAAATGCTAGCTTCGATCGATTTTTATGATTCAAAAACTATATTTCATATCGTGTCACATAGCAGTTTATGAACATCCTTTGATCCAGTTCAAATTATTAATTGAATCCTTGAATTTTCAATGAGTATGCTGAAAATTGACTTTTTTGATTAATAATGTTAACCGTATCGAAGAATTCTTATGAGTTGCTATGCGAATAAATATCAAATTCATTTTTTGAATCATCAAAATCGCACTAGGCTAGCATAATTTGATTCGAATCTGGCTAGTCAGCTGAGCAAGAAAACATCAACGAATTTTCGATCTAGACCTTCGTGACGGTTTTCCTAACTGTTTCCCAAAAAAGGCCTCGTTTGCTTATGCTTTGCTTGTCTCCTCCATGGCTCCTTTTTCTTCGTTGCCGAAAACCTTTGCTTTTGCTCCAGTAGTTCATCCTGGCGCCATCTAACAGAATCTCTTGAACTAACCAAGCATATGTGTTAAAGTTTCAGTAGTACGGCGAGTTAGGTAGGGTAATCGCCATGTCGCGTTTAATTTGAAAGGATTGTTTGAAATGAATGTTTTTGCCTTGAGTTAACTTGATTATCACTTTAATTTAGCAGCAATGAAAAAACACAAGCACAGCGCGTCAAGGAACAACTGCCACAAATACGTGGCCTGACCTTCTATAAGCGTCTATATTCGTTAATCTGGCTAACAGGGGGCGGAAGATAGACAACCGATTCGACAACCAGCGCAAAACTCTCCTAAAAAATCTCACAAAATCTTCTCTCCTTACACGATTACCCAATTCCTTCACAATCTTATTGCATAATTAACTTATGCAAATTCTTGAAAAAATACACCAACATATAACATACTCAAAACAAAAAATAACGGATACTCAAATTGTATACACAAAATCTACTCCACACACCTACACAATTTAACTATTAGCACTATAATTATCGTAAACAAAACCTCTCTCTTAGACTATCTACTATCTATAATTCTCTCCTCTTTCGAATATCCGCCAAGTTAGAAAACATGCGCTCTTGCGCAAGAATTTGTTGACGGCCGATCGGCGGACGGCCTCTCAGGGGGCCTATTCTGAAAAAAAATTTTGTGGTAAATCAGTTTGTCACTTCAGTTTACCACAGAATTAATCACTTTAGATGTGATAAATGCTTACGACATGTGCTAAAATTTTTTTTTAGAATAGGCCCCGTGCTAACATTTTTTTCAGAATAGGCCCCCAGTCAGAGACCCACCGCCATCTAGTCTAATAAAATAAAGTAAATAGGAGTTTAAGAACATGCACGTTAACTTAGGACTTTGTATATTAACATGTCTAATTAAATTTTAGAGTGTAAAAATTACAATAAAATTATTTTCAGTTGGTAAAATTTAAGGAAAAGCTAGAAATATATTTTTTTCTTAAGAAATAAAAGATTTTCCTGTAAAATTTATCAGTATTACAATTGCACAAAAAACATCGTATTATTCAAATTCTACAGGAGTACAAATTAGTTTTATGTATTTTTTAGATGATACAAATTAAGAAGAAGGTATTCATTGTTTTTTTTAAAGTCGCATATTTTTCTGCTGGAAGATAGATTTTCCGCCGCGCATGCGCAGTAATACGTTAATTTGAATTGCTAATCTTCCCTACGAAAATTTCTTCTTTCTCTATTATTAAGGAGGGTACAAATTCCAAAAAAGCAGTTTTCTGATGGTACAAATAAAAATGAAATTAGTAGTATTTTTTTTTTAAGATATCAATTATTTTTCCGCCAGGAGTATGAGTTTTCCGAAATATCATTTTTTTTCGCTTTTTTTAAAATTTTGGAGGGTACAAATTCCAAATAAGCAATTTTCGGTTGGTACAGATTTAAACGAAGCTAATGGTATTTTTTGTTGTTGTAAAAATCAATCATTTTTCTGCCAGGGTCGTCTCGAGATAGAAAGCGCCAACAGACCAGAAGTCAGCTGTTCGCAGCAGCTGATGGTCCGTCAAAAATAAAAGTAAATTTGAGATTGCCAAGCAGATTTTTCGCTTTGACGCGATAATATGGCCTGGCTTTCAGATCTTGCTGGTAAGGCCGAAGAAGTATTGAATAACATCGATAAAACTACTGCTGCAGTATTGAAAAAAGAGGATGCCAAGAGAGATTCATTGGGTTCTAGCCTCGTCGAGGTTAGATCACTGCCACCCAACTCTAATTTCACTGTTGAAGAGTTTTTAAGGAATGAAGAGAGGTGAGCATTTGTTACTAATCTGTAACTTTATTCGAATATGTTTGTTGTAAATTTTTTTTGCAACACTTAATTTGTAGGTCATTTCCACATATAAAATTTGCTCTCTTACTTGAACACAACTTTTATGGATAATTATAATTTCTTAATGTATTAGAAGCTTTCGAAGCTGTCAACTCATAATAAACAAATTTCGCAGTGTAAGTAATATAATAAAACTAGAAGTTTTCAGCGGCTTTTGCGCGTGATGCATAAAATTAATAGCGTAATACGTTAATTTGTGATTTGCGGATTACACGCAATATTTATAAAACAGCCGATTCAATGTAATTGCAGTACTGTGTTGTCATGAAGTAAAAACAAACACACATATACAACTATATTTATGTAAAACATGTCATATATTTTTACATTTATACATGCATGTATTAATATCTATTTAAGAATAAGTAGCATTTGAAAAAATTTTACCTTAATGCACTCGTTTAATTTTTATTATTTTTGCATTGTTTGTATTGTTTGCAAATGAAACTTAGTAATACATATATAGTGTAATTTATAATAAATGAAATTTTTTGAAAAAGGTCTTTGTAGATATAATTTTAATTTGTTGTATGTGCAATTTATTTCCAACATATATTTTAATAAAGTCCCATGATCGTACTTTTAATAATGCTACATAAAATTGCCCTTGACTAAAAACATTTCTACGCAGATCAACAACGACATTATCCAAACATTTGTTGTTAATCTTTGTAAATAGCCATAGCAAATACTAACTTTATTGGAAATTATCTTTTTTTAAAAGGGTAATCATTTTCATAATATAAAATTATGCAGTTTCAGAAAACAAGATTGTTAAATTTACACCTATTAAAATTTTGTACTTCAATAAAGAATTAGATAGATCTAAGATTTGTAATCTTGCACCATTACATAAACTCTCATTGATACTAATATTTCTTATTGACATCGCAATACAAATTTTTTTTGAATGCAATTTGTAAGGTAGTAAACAAGATGGATTCAATATTGCACATTTACTCATTTCATTAAATGTTTGTTGACATTAGTTGACCAAAAACATTGTATGTAATAATGCTTGATTATGTGGGAAGTATAACAAAAAATTAGACAATTCAATTTCATTTGGTAAAACTCATATCAGTAGTAAATCTCTACGATTAAAAATGTCGCCATAATACGCTATATTCAATAGAGAGCTTAGTTTATTGCTTCTAGTTCCTCTTACTTTAATTAGTAAAAATTGTTTTTGAAGTAGGAGGTCATTCGATTGTTAAATCGATATGTAACCTTACTGTATAATGACTGACACAATATGACAAACAATCATGGTAAACAAAGATTTAATATTATATGAACATTTGTATAAGTAAAATAAAATGACATTTTAAATATCAAACTAACAATTAAATATTAGGGTTCACGCCACACGTAACCATCATGTGATATTTCAATATTAATCGACTGAACGAAACTTTATTTAAAACTTCATTTAAAAATCGCGTTCATGACAAACGTTCTCATCATGTATTATTTATTTCAATCGACCAATCGCAATAATTAGAGGCTACAAGTCCCATTTTTTTAATAAATCGGAATATTGGTTGATTTATACAGATACTCAGATCCGAAAGTGTACACAAGGAATTCGCCGTTCCCTACAAAAATGACTGTATCAGCACCACCAACGCCAGCACACACAGACAGATCGATGAATTTACAAAATGAATCGCTCGCCTGGTTGGATAATGCTACCATAAGCAATAACCGAAAAGAGGAGTTAATAGATACGCCTAGCAATAATGGCTACAAAAGTAATGAATCTTACGATGATTATCAAATGCCTGATGAAAATGAAAACGGAGTTGGAGATTTGACTCAATATTTTAATGCAAATGGTAAGTTAAAAGACATTGTTGAAATAATTTCGTTTAAATTAAAATAAAAACCATCTTGCAGATTACTCCATGTTGGATGATTCTATGATTCCTGTTGCAGTAAGCGCAACATCAGGCGATAAAGAGCAGCAAGTCAAAGCAGAATATACCAAGGAAATCGAATCCCTTAGGGATAAAATAAATACAATAACATCCGAAAGAACGCGTTTCATAAGAGAAATTTCGGATCTTACTTCAACATTAGAAAAAACTAGATTTGAATTGAATGCCGTTGAATCGGAACTTGAACAACATCGCGCTAGAGCTTTAAGGACATTGCAAGAAAGAGATAAATTGATAAGTGAACTAAGAAGCAATTCTACATCTGAATTAGATGACACGAGTGTTCTCGTTGAACTCAATCAGCTGAGGTATAATTATAATTTCATTTATTCGCCGTATGAAAAATCGATCAAGGATCGAAGTAAATTTATACGTGTTTGACAGGCAAGAACGCGAAGTGCTGAGAGAAGAAAATCGTCAAATTAGGGAAAAACTACGTTTAGCACGACAAGAAGCAATAGACGCTGAATTGAATTCAGAAAAAGTTAGACAAAGAGCAATGGAAGCTGGCATACAAGCAAGAGAATCTATTGCTAACGAAAGAAGAAGGAGACTCGACGCTGAAGAAGATGCGAAACTTCGTAGTGAGGTAATGTTGAATTATCAAACATTTTTCATTACAATGACTTTCGTAATTCACCAATTTTCTTTTTTTAGGAAGTAAACTCATTGCGGGAAGAATTAACGCTCCGGCACAATTCATTCCTAGCAAAAATTCAAAAACAAGAATCTGAAATCTCGAGATTGAGGTCACAACTTTCGGCAGCTACGACTCCGAATTCAGAAGTCGAATCGCGATTATCTAGCTTGACAAGAACTTTAGTCTTGAAACAACAAGAATTAGAACATTTAACTACAGACAGAAATGCTTTAAGACTGCAACTTGAAAAATTAGAGGTATAGTTGAATTTAAAATAATGCTTGCACTGAAATTTCACCTTTCTCTTATTGTAATTTTGATTTTCAGCACGAGTATCAAAACTGGAGAAAAAGTATGCCATTTAGTAATGTCAACGATACCGATGATGCCAAAGCTTTACTGCCAAGTTTCTTGATGGAAAGTCCTTTTGATACTGGAGTTGCTAGAAAAGTCAAAAGAGCTTATTCGTCTTTAGATGCTGTGGGAATAAGAATTGGAGTGTTTTTAAGACGATATCCTTTAGCAAGAATCTTTGTTATAATTTATATCGTGAGTAAACTATTTCCTGTAGTAAATATTAAATCAGTATTAATTATTATTAATATTTTAATTATTATTTGTTATATCTAAGTATAATTACTAAATATATTATTTGTTAAACATTAATTGTTTCAGGCTTTACTTCAGTTCTGGGTATTGATTGTATTATTCTCACAGTCTCCAGAAGCACGATAAATATTAGCAAGAATTTAGTTTAGAACAGCTTTATAAGTGCATTTTGTATATAAAATTTGTACATATATCAAATTATTATTATATTGTAATGTAGAAATGATTAATTATATATAATAATAAAATACGCTATATTTTATTAGAAGAACAATTTTTAATTTTATTTAATTATCAATCCTTTATTTCACACAAGTTTTGTATTGAAAGATTCAAATTTATTCATTGTGAATGACAAAACAAATATACCATTCATACCTCTATGTCGTAACGGTTGCATATGTGTACGTAAATGCATGTTTACGGGCGAATAGCAACACAACTGCCATTGCCAGAGATGTGACAACGGCTTGCAACTGCCTACTATAGTGCCTATCGAAGTTGAGATCGTGTCGTATTTACAGATTGCAGGTTATGTTTGTTGCCCAATTATTGTTTCAATTGAACAGTTGAACTTTTTATCTTTCTACTTTCACTAATTTCTTCTTATCAACGCACCATAAATGTTGTGGTGGAACTTTGATAATCTTATTCAAGGTTGGTTAGTAATTTGTTGCATTATTATTTCATAATAGCGTTATTTTTCACGACGACGGCCGGAAATTTTATTTGAATTATTTTTCAGTGATAATAAGGTTGTGGAATAATCCAATCGATTAGCAGGAGATAAAAGATCGTTAAAAGAAAATGTTAGAACGTAAATTTTAAAGTTATAAAATTCATAGAATGAATTGTTGAATCATGTTTAGAAGAGTGAGGAACTTTTTTTACAATCACAGACGTAAATTTTTATTTGGTGGAGTATTTTTCGGTACTCTCATATTACTAGCAAGATATGCCCGAGGTAAAGTCCGAGAATCGCAAGAAAAAGAAGTGAATGAGTTGTTAGAAAGAACTCGAAGAAGACAACACTTTGAAAATACAGAAAGAACATGTAATGAAATAATGCAGACTCTTTCTTCAAATTTGAGAAATGCTGTCACAAAGTGTCTTGATTGTGAAAAAATTGTGAATGAATTAAGAGAGGGTACTGCTGATAAAATTTCTGCATGGAATACACTCAAAGTCCTTGCCATTTCAAGAACTGCTACAATAATATATTCGTACACAATGTTCGTTATAACATTAAGGATACATTTCAATGTTCTTGGTGGATGTATGCTTAAGGATTCAAAAATTTCTAATAATTCTTCTCAGAGTTTAGAGAAAGTAGATGAAAGAACAAGGGAAAAATACTTATCAGCATGTGGATATTTAATGGATGAAGGAATAAAAAAACTGTCAGCATTAATCCAAGAAAAAGTCAAAGAAATCACTTCTATTTACTCTTTACAAAATAAGTTACATCTACATGACGTTCAACATATATACTGGGCAATATCATCTACATTATCTGCTATGGAAAATGAAGATCCAGTGAAAAATTTATCATCCTACATTGTTGATCCTAACTTAACAAAAAACAATCAATCTGACAAACCACTTATCAAACTGATCGATCAAACTTTAGATCTTATGGAAAGTCAAGAAGTTCAAGAGCTTATGCAAAATAATTTGAGGGCAGGCTTGGCTTTATTGACTGACAGAATATCAGAATATTTTAACGATAATGTCAAGAGTGATAGTGCTGAAACTCAAGCTAGTGATATGTTTAGCAATCTAAATGCTGCGACGATGCCAATGGCTAAAATAATTCCAATACTAAATGGGCAAGTACCAGAAAATCCAACTTCTGGTGATTTACCGTCTGATTGGTTGGAGAGGCTTTTACTGAGTGAGGAACTAAAGGCTCTAGGAGCCAACATTTATGAAGCTTTTTGTTATTAATTTTTGTACTATTATATTTTGTTATTATTATTTCTTTTTGGTTATGCGAGTGATACAATTTCTTGGAATGAAAAACATGGAAGCATAATAGTACAATAGTTTTATTACATAATGGTAAGGGTATCTTACATTTTAAAGATGTACCAATGATGTATAGGCATTTCACACAATGTTCAAAGTTAGTTTTTAATAAAAGGAATGTAAAAAAAAAACTAATTTATTTCTCTGTGTTTATTTATCTTTTTTTTTGAGAAATGTTTGATTCTATAAATACATATTCTATTTTTATAAATACCAAACGAATTTTAGTGTACTTGATATACTGTTTACTTAAAACTGAAAGATATTTTATTTACAAAGTATCAATATAATATACATTACTATCCTAGAGTTGATAAATGAACTACTGATTATAATTATAAACTACAGTCATTGTCATAAAAAATATGTCTTTTTAAATGTCGCACCAATGTATATTCGTGAATTGTTCTTAAAAAGACACAATTTGACTTTTATACTCTTGATCCCACAATTAAAATCAGTCAGAACGAAAGAACTTGGACACTTGAATTTAAAAAAAATTACCAATTGAAATTTTTCCCTATCTAACTATTTTTTAAAGTGTCGAAATTCCCCCGTGAATACATCTTATAAGAATTTTTTGTAACGAACGTGTATAAATTTGTTACATGTGAAACCAACTTAAATACTACACTCGCGTTCGCTTAATTAATTCCGTTTGTATCGCGGAACTGTTGAACTCTGTAAATGAAATGAGTGTATTGTGTATTGGATTCGTATTTATAATTCGGGGCTTGGATTGCTACGACGAACGTAGCGATTAAAATAATCCGGACGCCAACATTTACAACTGCCCGGGACGAGGAACCAGTCGTAGTACAGTCGAACCTAATGAGAAAGCAATGGTTTTGTCTTACAACTGAATTTCTAATCGTTAAAATGCTGGAATACGAAGAGATACTCACCTGGAAGCATCCCATATCGTCGACTCCATCGCAGTGATGCGCTCCGGACGAAGTACTCCGTCCTTCCACGCTACTGCTGTTGCCGCTAACAGTATCGTCGCTACTACGACCTTCCACCTCGCCGGCACGTTTCTGAAGGTACTGCTGATAATTCTGGAAATCGTGCACCGGTGGCGGCGATCCAGCGACTGGATCTCGGCGCCCGGGTAACGCGCCGTTTTGACTCTCCTCCAGGAAGGTGTCGGGATAGAAAATTTCAGCGACCAGAAGCGAGGTCCAACGGGGCGATGACAAGCAACCGCCGTCCAGATAGTGACACCTCGACTGCCTGAAATAATGTTTCCCACAGGAATCAAACGCGCCTCGAGGGTCAGCGAGAGCGCGAGACGCCTAACTCTTCGACACTCACATGCATCGTGTGACCTCGATGGTCTGCGTGAAGTATCCCTCGTACGGGATTTGCACGACGTAGCGCCAGACGCCCTGGTAATTTTTGGCGAACACGGGCGTGGCGTATTCGACTTTCGCCGGGCAGGGCGTCGGTGGACCGGTGTACTCGGTCTTCTCGGCGCTTGGCGCGCGTTGTCTGTACTCCAAATTGGCCGGACCTGCTGCGCCTGCCGACACTGGCTCGTCCCTGCGCTCGGCCGCCGGCTGCGACAATGGCTCGCCTTGGATGGCTTTGTACAGCATGCATACTCTGTTTGGGCGATCGGAGGGTGAAAAGCCAAGCCGCGACGCAGTACGACGAGTCACTTACACTCCGCCTCCGTTTTCGCAAAACTTTCTGCCGCTGCGCGTGGTGTCGCTAGCCTCCTCGGCGGCGCGCCTTTTTCGCAGACTGCGCTTCTGATTGGTGTCCACCCTGTCGATCAGAATCGATAATCGCGTGAGCGCGCAGTTGGCGCATCGGAACGTTCATTTTCGACACTCACGAGTTCTGGGAGAAAGGTTGAACTTTGGCAACCTTCGGAAGCGAGTCGTCGGCCTTGAGTATCGGCAGAGCTTTGCTCAGAAACTTGAGCGTGTGATTCCTAATCAGCTCGCTAACGGAAAGAAAACGGAAAGAATTATCGGGCGCCCGGTGTCCGTGATCGCCAAGTTACCGCGCGCTGTCCTTACAATGGATAAGAAGACCCGCCAAAGCTTTGCTTCATCGGATTCTTCGGTATGTAGCCTTTGTTCAGATCGCCGCAGATGTTGTGTACGGACACGAACCCTTTGCCCTGCTTCCCGGTATCTACGAACAGAGACGACTGCGTGCAGTTGGCACGAAGGCTCATCGCTTTGTGCGTAACAAGTTGGATAGTAACCATGGCACTCCTTGTCGCTGTCGATGTAGGGTGGCTGCCTGACCTTGGGCGGCTCGGCATTGGGTGACTCGACGAAGGCGTAGTAGCCTTCCGGGGGCTCGTCGGCTATCGCGTTCTTATCGGCCGCGCCGCTCTTCTCCTTGTCCCGGTAGTCCTCCGCATAGGAGGCCGCGCAAATCAGGATCATCTGCACACGCCTGTCGTCAGCCCTTGGTGCGATCGCTCGCGGCACGACTGCCCTCGTTTTGCCCCCCCCCCCTCCACCCCTCCACCTCGGCGGACGAAATTTGGTCGCGACACGACCGCTCGCACGAGGTCGGAGTCGTCAGTGCCGCAGCCGAGAAGTCCCCGTTAGCGCGACTTAACGGTACCCGGTCCATCGCGCGCGCGCGTGCCGCGCGTGCGTGCCGTGCACTGTTCCTTTGCCGCGTGCCTCTTCGTTCGGGCGCGGCCGCGCATCCGCGACGGTCGCGCGCGCCGATGCACGCGGCCCCGTTTCGCCTCCGGCTTCCGAGTGGAGTTTGTCGTGCTTTGGAAATCGCGCCGTGCGAGGGGGATTAGCTTACGAGCGAGACAACACTTTCTCGGATTTCTGTAACGCTTTACGTAATTCGCCGATTACGCCAATTGATTTTCCATCGAACACTTTTCCGGACCGTGCGACGACGCCTGATTTCGCGCTGCGCGCGTCACGGCGATCGGGTGAGCTCGGAAAACGGACCAATCTACTTTATAGAACGAAATCGCGCGCGCGTGCCGGATTTTCGAGTTGTGCAACGTGTGATGCAAAATTCAGATGACACACGGCGCGACGGTAGGTAGTTTTTATGTAACACGTTCGCTTAATGATCTATTTTGCGACGCGCTCGGCAACGGCTTTTTTCTTTGTTTTCTCAAATTCGTACGCGTTAGACAATCGCCGCGTGTTGTGCTTTTCATCGCGCTCGATCGACGTACTTTCACGAGGCACGTGAGATTTGGAAAAAGCCAATGATTCGCTTGTAAGCGCGACGGTCCCGCACAGCCGCGTGCATAATTCTAGGATCGAATATACACGGGAAGTCGGTAGAATGGTGATACGGGCAACTATGAGAGAAAGAGGGAGAAAAAAAGCGCGGCCCGCGTTACAGTTAACGGCCGCGGAGAAAGAGCGACGATGACCCACGGGGAAACCGGTTTTCCAAACGAGATCTGCGCTCAAAGCGGACGAGCCGCGATAAAAAGAGAAATTGTACGTCAGCGTGGTACACATATATACCGCTGCACCGGAGACTCATCCTTTTCTTAACTTTATTCTCTCGCCGAATCGGGCTTTTAATTGATGCGAGTCTTTCGGACTTGACGACGACGAATTAACGAGAAAAAGAGAGGGAGAGAGCAAATCGTCACGCCACGTCCATTCGACTTCTCGTGCGTAAGATCGAGAAGAAAATTCCGAAATTAGAGAAGAGAAAGCACGAGGTGCGTTTTATGATGCAACGCGACACAACCGAGCCCCGATATTTTCGCATCGACAGCTATCTGGGATGAATGAACTAATGAACGCCAATCGAGAGAAAAACCGTTGATCTCGATGCGATCACGACGACAATAAGAAAGGACGAAAGCTTTCCCTTGGATTTCTCTAACGAGAAACAAACTCACAATAAACGTCCGGAACTCCATGATGAAAATCTTGGTTGATGGTCTTGTAACCCGTGACTTTTCCGCTGGCTCTCCAGCTCAATCTCCACATGCAATGTTGTCGCGAACGGGCCTCGTCGAAAACTGACGGCTGTGCGGGATCCTCCGTCGATGGACTTGTTTCTCTTCCTTCCCTTCCTTCTCTCTCTCTCTCTCTCTCTCTCTTTCTCTCTCTCTCTTTCTCTCTCTAAGTGGCGTGTCTGCATGCATGATGTGCGACTAACGGCCCACATTCTTTGGGATACGCTATGTACTCTCTGTCTATTGATCTCTATCGCGCGTTTATTCGTGACCTTGACCAACTCGGAGGAGAAGTAACACGACGTTGGTCGGGACAATCGCCGAGAAGTTCAATGCCGTTTGGATAATCTCGCGCAGCTTCGTTGTTTCCTTCTTCAATGAGCTTGTTTTGGCTTCGATACAAAACAAAGTCGAATTGAATACGTTCACTGCCATGTGACTCAATTTTATTTTCTATCTACGACCTTCCATTTATAAACAGCACAATCCCTATAGAAGTGAAAATTCATTAAAGGATATAAAATGAAAAATCAATTGTCGGCAAAATAATAAAAATCTTTGTAACGGCAAATATTTGAGAAATCGTGGCAATCATTGAAATATTTTTGTTTTCACGATAAATACCCAGAATACTACATCAAAGCAGATGGATTGAGAATTGGCACGATGTAAGTAGGAACTTGGAGCTTACAGTTTCAAAATAACGATGAATGTATCCAGTTACGCGCTCGAGTATCGACTTGAAAAAAATATTCGTCATTTCGATAGATGTTCTTCTAATAATAGATTTGGACGGCCGGCAGAAATATCAGGAAGAAATTCGATCAGCTTCTTCCTGGCATTCTTACCAATTACGTTGTACGCGCACACGTCGGTTTTTCACGCGAATTACGGAAATGGAAATATATATAAGTAAACGGTCGCGCGCACATGCGTGGCGCACGACCATTCGGTCGTCGCGCGACGTTTGAACCTGCTCCTTTCCAGGTGTGCCTAACTGTACAGTCTAGCGTCGTAACAGTACATCAACACAATGCCGAATACATTACCACTTGGCTCGCGCTGTGCCCTCGAAAAATGACTCCGAGTTTTTTTCTCTCTCACTCTTGCCCCGACAATTACGCAATCGTGATCTTGCTAAAGCACAGCGTCTACCTCTGACGCCGCCAAGAAAATCGAATGGACGGCTGCGTCGTCGAGCAAACGGCCGATGAATTTTGCGAAAGAAACAAGCGATCGAATCGGGCATTGGCATCCGCGCGATAAGCCAGCTGCTGTGTTTTCCATCGCGTAAACGCGCCGGCCGATGATCGACGATCGACCTCTGGCCGATCGAGCCGCGAGCACTGGTTTCTCGCGGTTTAACGAACTCTGGCCGCTCCGAAACCGTGAATTCCTCGGAAGTTATTGACCGGCCGGCCGCGAGCACCGATGCATCACCCAATCGCTGAAAGTCCAAGCTCCGATTCGCGCGCGTTCGCGGCGAGAGCGAGGGCGAGAGAACGAGAAAAGCGCTTATCAACGACTTGAAGCGGAAAACCCACGCGCAGCGAGCTACGACTGGCAAAACGAGAAGAAAAAACGTAGAGAAGATGTAGCAAAAGGGAATGATTCGTTTATTGCAAATTACATGATTGTTCGTCGACGGATATCGTACAAAAGGAAAAGCAGCTTGGAAGTGGAGCACCGACGAACCGAGAAACTTACGGAGCTCAGAAAATGACGGTGTGGTCGTGCTCGATCTGGTGGTAGACGAGCACGTCCTTGAAGAAGAAGTTGGCGCCGTGAAAGTCGAATTCGGAGATGGGCCTGTCGAGCGGATAATTGTACGCTCGGTCGTCCACCAAGGAGTCGCCAAAGACGCGCGACGTGTAGAGCACCGGGTCGCTTTGAACTGGCGCGACGTGAACGAACAATTGGAGAGGCATGCCCTCGGGTCTGCCCTTGGGCAGAAGCAGGCGCTCGGGGAAGGCGAAGATGCGCTTCTGCAGCTTGAGCTGCTCGCCGCTCTCGATTCCCTTGGCCACCTTTTGCCAGTAGACCTCGCTCGGCTCGGGCTCGTGGTCCACGAAGAAGAAGTCGTGGCAGTTGCGCGTGATCTTGTTCGCGCCGGCACTCACTGGAATCGAGAAGAGGCGCACGCGGTGAGGCGAGAGGGTGACGGCGTTTCACGGCGGTTCACGGCAGACGCGTGCACTCACGGTCGTAAATGAAGTTGTCCATCTCGTAAAACTCGTGGTAGTGCTCGGTGAAGTCGATCTCCTGCATGTGCACGTTGTACTTGGGCCCGAGGAAGATCCTGATGGCGACCTTGTGCGCCTTCTCGGCGTTGACGCTAACGACGACGTTGAACGGCTTGTGGTTGAGGCGATGCTGGCGGGCTTGGATCAAGTAAGCCTCGGCTTGCTGCTCGCTCTCGACGGCTAGTCCGTTGCTGATGGTCGCGTCGAAGAGGTCGAAGTAGGTGACGAGCTTGTCGACCTGCACGGACTCGATCTTGAACTCGTAGAACTGGATCTCCTCGGGCTTGTAGGGCTTCTGATTGGCCTTGAACCTGCGTCGGTAGGAGCGGTCAGCGCCGCGAGCCGAGTGGCCGCGCCGAGCGGGCTCACCTGTAGTAGTGGTGGAAGAACCTCTTGTAGAGCCTCCAGAAGGCGGGGTCCCTCATGCTCGTGACGAAGTGCTCGAGGGCGCTCGGCTGCAGCTTGGCGGGCGTGAGCGGCGCGACGTTGAAGCCGAGAATGCTGCGGCCGAGCATGTCGATGCTGCCGTAGTACTGCTCGTTGCACGAGTCGGCGTTGCCCTCGATCATGTTGCCGAGCACGTTGAGCCCCTCGGCCGTGTACAGCTTGGCGGTCTTGCCCTCCTTCGTGTAGGCTATGCCCGAGTCGACGGCCTGGCCGATCCGCGTCTCGTACTCTCTGCTCTCCTGTTGGACCGGCGCCGCTAGCAATGGTCGTCGCAGCGCGAAGCGCCCCCGAGAGAGGAACCGAGCCGACTCACCTGGATCTTGTGGAACTTGCTCCTGGGGAAGTGGCTGTTGCGCGGCCTGGACGGGAACTGCATGCCGTTCGGATAGGACATGGTCGGCCAGTAGCCGCTGTAGAACTTCCTCGAGTAGTCGTAGTCCTCGATGTGGCCGAGGCCGTTGGAGAGGCGCTCGAGGTAGTAGCGAGCGAACAGCTGCTTGTGCCCGTATATGTACTCCATGCCGCGGAAGGTCTTCGGCCAGCCCATCTCCTCGCTACTCAGGAAGAACGGGAACTGATTGCGCAGGTAAAAGTAGTAGGCGTTGAGGCCGATGTCCTCGGTGAAGTAGTTGAGCTTCTGCTCGTAGTTGTACTCGTCGCTCAGGTAGTGGTTCGAGTAGTTGTACGGCAGGATGTAGCAGTCGTAGCCGGCGCTGTGCTTCTCCTCTGGCGCATTAGCACGTTTCTTAACGATCGACTCTCTCTCTCTCTTTCGAGCGAATTAGGCGAGTGCTCGCGATTAGATTCCCTCACCTAACTGGCCCAGCTCTTTCACGTGGTGGGCTTTCTCCAGGAGCTCGTCGTTGTAGAACAAGTGAGGCGCCATCTCGTACGGAGCCGGCAGTCTGATGTATTTCGTGTCGGGCCTGTGGATCACTGCCAAGTAGAACGAGTAAACGAACAAGCCGTGGTTCAGCCGGTTGCGAAGGAACAGCGCCGTTTTGTAGAAGGTGTCGAAGTCCTTGGCAGAGTACATCAGCTTGAACACGCACTCCGTCTCCTCGATGATCCTCGGGTAATAGATCGAGAAGACCGTGTCGTGAGGCAGCATGCCGTGCTCCAGGCGGTGCAAGAATTCTTTGGCCGCGTCCTGAGAAACCCAGAGAAATCGAGAGGATAATCGCTCGGGAGGCCGTATGTCGCAGCCAGAAAAAAGCCAATCGACTCGCTCAAGTTACCTTGTTGATGTAGTTGTGAACTTCGATTTTGAATTCTTGGCCTTCTTTGTAGAGGTCGGCTTTGAGCCGCGGCTGCGTCACGTGATAGAGAATTTGAAAAACTCGCTTCTGCTTCAGCAGGAAATCCTCGCTGGCGACGTACTCATTCTGGTAGTCGGGCTTGTAGGCCTGGGCTGATACCCAGCCGACGGCTAGCGCGCACAGCACTGCTAGCCTGACGAACATTTTCAGCTCGTCTTTCTTCGACTACCAACACCTGCTTTCGTAGGAAACAGTTTATTTTCTTTCAAAATCAATTGTGAACGGTTCGCGAGCTTGTTCATCCGCAAGACGATGCAGCCGTTGTTCATATGTCCAATTCAATTTCCAAATTAAACTTTGTGTTATCCAAGCTGAACGATCTTTTTATTAATGGAACATTTGCATGTCCCGTCTTAAATATATCATTTGCGCTGACGAATCACAAGCAAAAGAATGCGCAAAGTAAAAATTTAAGCTAGAAGACTCGAAAAGAAGAATAATAACGTGTACTGAACTTATAATAAAAATAACAAATGACCTTGATAACAAGAGCTCTCCGCGAGCAAGACGACGTTGTTCAATAATACTCCGAGGACGCACTGCAGGCGCGGAATTGGCGTCCTCAAAGCTTTTATATCAGTTGCGCACGGTCAACAAGAAAGGAGCAGCTAATCTTTTGGCCGGGTCACGCCGCGTTGACCCTCGCCAATTTCGAAAGGGGGTGGCTCAAGTGGAAGTGGTATTTAAGGGGCCGTTATCGCCTTTAGAATGCATTGACACTCGCTGATCACGCTTTGCAATATTTATGCATTTATTTATTGATCTGCGCCTGTACGCTTTGGCTTCGTTGCTACCAGTAAACGAACATCGCTTCATACTTATTCAATATCCGCCTTCTTTATTTCTAATCGGACAGTTTGACAAAAATAAAATGAGAGCTTTCGTGTTTTATATTATATTTTCTCTTGCAAATTTCGTGAAAAATCGTTGCGCCGTTAATCAACAAAATATTTTTCATGTCGATCTAATTATCAGGGACCTACTGTGCAGTGTACATTGTTAAATCACTGCACCAGTCAATACGTTGGCTTACAATATATATGCATGGCATGTATCAACTTTGAACTTGTAAATGATGTTTTTGAAAGCAACTAATCTAACTTTTTTACTTTGATAATTCATTAACATACCAATAAGTGAAAAATATCAATTTAAATATATTATAAACATATTGCTGTTTTTTCTGCATTATTATTATGGAAACAGCAAATAAGTCAGATCTGTCGCTTGTTTTCTTCATCAAATCGTACCGCTGATTAGTCAAGATTCCACTTGTTGTACAAAAAAGCCATTCAGTTGCAACAGCATTGAAAAACAATGATACTGCCAATTATCGCATTAATATTCTTATTTAGTCGCGCTCAAAAATAATATTATCAAACTTTCGAAAGTACGTGTACCGGCTTCATAAACATATGTGATAAATAATTATCGAAACACTCTGTAACGAACGCTGCCAATAGCATTTTGTACTTCCTAAAAGTCAGTGTTTCACGTTAAATCAATTGCTTGCTCACGAGGGTTCAAACGGATCTTTCAATATTCGTTTTATCATTCTGACATTAAAGAAAATGTAGTACATCTACCTTATAAATTGAACAAAATTTGTGAAAATATGTAAGATACGGTAATCGATATAAAAATCTGACACTGATTATATTATAAGTAATTGCTATTAAAAAAATAGTTAGACATTTTATTTGATTGGATTAAAAAAGGGCCTACATATCAAAATATGGAGATCGAAGAACAATCGTCTAGTTTATTATTGTTATACATATAAAAAGTTTTCATAAGCTAAGCATTCTTTTAAAAGTAGCTCAGAAAATTCATGCTCTTCAAATTATATCAGACACTGAATACATCTAATAAGAAAATACATTCTACAAGATATGTCTCATTCCCTCGTCTTAAGATTTAATGTGGCCGTATAATAAATGCTCGAAGATGGTATTAATTTGAGACATGTTATGAATATTGCTTCTGCAACAAGAGTGTAACGATATTTGTTCTGTGCAAAAATTGAAATGTTTTTTATTGTTATCTCTTATATAATGGGTATTATCGGCGAGACTACTCATTAGTAACATTGCAATAAATGTGCTTTGTTATGATAACTTTTCTAACGAACTCCGTGAATCATTTCTTTAGTTCAATGATCGAGATTTTTCGAATGACACATTAATTTTTCAAATCTTAAAAGGTATTCATTTTTTATAACAAAAATAAACAATTTTCAAGCTCTTGGTTCAAGGCTTTCATTCGTAACTGAAAATTTGGTCTTTACATAATCTTTTTATGAATCTATAAATCTTTTAAATTCTTAATACACATTGTATTAAAAGAAAATCATTTCATCTTGAGTTTACGTATTATATGTCTAACATGATAAAAATTAAAATTTCAATAAAGATTTTAAATGTTTAATTATACAATGAAAATGGTAGTAGATTTACTCTATCGAAACAAAGTTTATCTTCGCAAATAAATTGTATCTGGAAATTTGAAATCGATTTAATTACGTTGTCTATCGGTATTTCAATTCAACGTTATTGCGCTGAAAGAATGAAAATAAGATTTTTGGTATTGGCGAAAACATAGAATAAAAGTTGAACAAATTATTGGTATTTAATGAAATAATTTTTTTATTCATTTTCAGTTCGAGTACAATGCACAAAGTGAATTGTTCAAGCGATTCATTATCATTGAAATTGTAAAAAAATTATGATTTTTACATGTATTTAAAAACTGTCAGTACTTTAGCTCTCCCATGAAACAAAAGAAGGTCGCCGCAACGTGATCGAAGCGTTCGTTTTTCTGTTTTTTCTTGCAAAAAGCTTAAAACCGACGCTGGTATTTGGTGTCGTAATCGTTGTGAATGTATTTCATATCGTAGTCCTTGGTCATGTATTTGGTATTATAGTCCCTGTAGTTTACAAGGTAATCTTTCATCTGGCTGTTGTAGTTCACGCGGTAGTCCATCGTGTAGTCCTTTATGTGTGTGATGATGACATCCTTGAAGTACAAGTTGTCCATTTGCAAGAAGTACGGGTTCACTGGTCGGTCAAGTGGGAATCCAAGGGATTTTCCGTAGAATTTGAATGTGCCGAGGATTGGCATCTCATAGACTTTAGGTTCCTCGTAGGGGCCAATGTAACAGAAGAGCTTGAACCTCATACCGTCAACAGTACCTTTGGGTAGCATCAAGTGGCCTGGGAAGGCCCACATTCGCTCATTGTATGAGAATGGTTCCTGGCCCTGGAGAGCTTTCATGATCTTTTTGTAGTACACATCACCGGTCATGTAGTTGTGTTTGAAGAAGTAAGAGTCTATGCTGTGACGCTCGATAGTGTTCATTCCCGGTTTCACTGTAGATAAGCGACAAGAAAATCGTTAGAAAAAGTACTCATTCACTCGATCGCAAAGAAAAAATGCAAAACTCACGGTCGACTTGGAATTCGTCAAGCATGAAGAAGTATTGATAGTAGTTGAGCAGGTAAGTGTAGTAGTCGTATTTCTCTCCCTCGACGGCCGGTCCCAAGAAGATGCGCATGACACCCCTGGTGTCTTTGTCGGAGTTGACAGCAAACTTGTAGGTGAATGGTTTATAGTTGAGGCTGTACTGCCAGGTCTTTATGTTGAAACTCTTGCCCTCCTTGAAGCTGTCGACGGCAACAGCGTTGTTGATCAGGTATTCTTTCTTGTCGAAGAAGGTGACCATCTTGTCGACTTCCACGTTCTCGATCTTCACGCCTGGGAATTCAAGCTCGTTCTTGGTGTAGCGGTTCAGCATGGCTTTGTACCTGCACGACAACGGAAAAATTAGTAGAGCTTTTACGAGACAAGCAATATCGAATGGTCGGTTGGGTATAAAGAAACCTTTGGAAGAAGTAAAGGATTCTGTCATAAAGTCTGTAGAAAGCTGGATCCCGCATGCTGGTGGAGAATAATTGGAGAGAACTCGGGACGTAGTAGTCTTTACACTTGCAGTCCATGTTTTGCCCGAGAAGGTCACGGGCAAGAGCGTCGTAGGCGCCGTAGTACTTCATGTTGTAGGAGTCGCAGTTACCCTCGATCAGGTTACCCAAGTGATTGAGACCCTCGGGTGTGTAGATGCTAACCTGTTTACCTTGTTCATCGTATACGTAACCGGAGTCGATGGCGTCCATGACTCTCACTTCCAAGTTCTTGATTAGCTGTAATCAAGAGGCAAACAACGAAATTCGAATGCGTAAATTCGAAACTCGTAAAGAGCGCGTTATTGCGAGCTTACATCGAGTATGCGAAGCTTGTAGAATGGCACAACGTTCCACCAGTCACGTCTGGGCATGTACATGCCGTTAGTGAAGCTGATGTCGGACACGAATCCTGGCAAGTCCATACGATCGAAAGTGAAGTCTTCGATCAGTCCCAAGTCGTTGGACAACCTCTCGAGGTAGTATCTGGACATGATCTGCTTATGGAAGAAGTAGTAGATGTCACCACGGAGGAAGCGTGGCAGCTTGTAATCCTTGGTGTCCATCCAGAACGGATATGTCATTCGGAAGTAGTAGTAGAAGGCATTAAGGTCGACGTCTTCCATGAAGTAGTTCATCTTGTACTCGAGCTCGTACATCGGGTTCATGCAGACGTCCGTGAAGTTGGAGGTGACGTAATAGGTCTCGCCGTTGTCGACGGTCATCGCGTCGCCGCGTTTCATCATCATCATGTCCATGCCCATGTTGTGGCTGCCGCGAGTCATCTTCATGCGAATTGCGTCGCGGATCACCTTGGTGTCGAAGAACATGTTGGGATAGATCTCGTAGATGGCTGGCAGACGGATGTACTTGGTGTCGTCGCGGTAGATGACGGCCGTGGTGAAAGCCGTGACGAACATGCCGTGGTTCATGTGGACGCGAGCCCAGCAAGCGGTCTTGTAGAAGGTTGCAAAGTCCTTGGCCACGTAAAACAGACGGTACAGCAGCATCATCTCCTCGCGGTGTTCTTGCTTGTAGTAGGTGAACAGACCGTCCTTGCGGAGCATGCCTATCTTGTACATGTTCACGAACTCGTAGACTACATCCTGCGAACGAAGGTCATACGTGAAATCAAGATTGCGCGTCGAGAGAAAAATCAATCGTAGAGAGCGAAAGAACCATCAATTACTTTATCCATGTAGTAGTCGACGTTGGTCATGATGTCGTAGTTGCGTCCAATTTCGAAGTATTCGGCATCGGTGTGAGTGCCATCGACATACATCAGCAGGTCGAAGACTTTCTTTTGCTTCTGCAGGTAGTCCATATCGGCAGTTTTCTTGAAGTCGTAAGTTGGCGAACGCTCAGCTGCGACCATGCTGACCATCGCCAGCAAGGCGAAAACGACGCAGTTGCGCATCGTGACGACGATTCGAGATTCACGCCGAGGTTCCGTAACAAGCTGATTACCTTCTGCCTGACCGGGGCAGATTGATTGCGACTGCTGGTCGATCGGCTTTTATAGCCAACCGAAATTAACGAGTTTAGCCCGCAGTTAGCCGCATTTCGTGACCTTTGATCTCTCCGCGTGCATCGCATCGACGTACACGTTGAATATCGCGTAGATAATTTTGTAATTTCGTTGTTTGTCCAGAACGCGAGAGAAGTGCTTGATTAGCGATATTTGAGGGCGTCGCTGTTAATTATTTTCATTATCCTATTGGATAAAATTTTCTATTTAACGATTTCTTTGTGATTCATCATAAGCAAAATAAATTGTTTCCATATCATTACAAGTATAATAACATTTATTTATTTATGTATTTACCTAACAACTCACAAAATCTATTTCAAGATAATTATAGTTTTACATTAAATTTTGTTGGATACGCTATTCAGTATTACTGTCAGTGATCGCTTCATTTTATCGATTATATAAATAGGAAAGAACCGGCTAATTGAACCCGCTTTTTCATTTTGAATCATAACGATGTTTTCGTGCATAAAATTTATTTTTGTTAATAAATCATGCAAGTTCAACATTGGTAAAATCTATTACAATTCTCAAATTAAAACAACTCCATTTTAATTCATCTCAGTTTCATTTTCGGGAAAAAAAAGATTTTATCTGTTTAGCGCGGTAGTTTTCTTAATCACTTCTTTAAAAACAACAGGAGATAATGAAATTCATGATACGGAAATATAAAAATCTTGTATTAAAAAAACTTATTGAATTTTTCTGTGAGTGAGTTCATTTTAAGCCCAGATTTCAGCTTTGAAAGAGGATCTCAATGTTATACTTATCAGCTAATTCGAGAACAAAATACATAACATTAAGTGTGTACATATATACATTCATACGTATACGTATACGTACATACGCATGTATGTATTTATGCCCTATGTACGTATGTATATATATTGAAGGGTGAAAAATCTTTTATACACCGTACAGAAGGGTCTCAATTCCACCGTCGCGCTATGTGCCGGTTTTTTCAACGTGACCTACCTACTAAAAATCTTTTTGTTTTACGGCTGTACAGATGTGAAGTCATAATCAAAAATCCCTATTTTCACATCTAGTATCCACCAGTACTCTTTTGTAGTATTACTTCCGTGGAACTCGTTCTAATTTCGAAGGATCTCTCTTCTAATGTGGTATTTTTTAGCCTATCAGCCTTGTAGTTTCAGTTTATTTTTCTCTCTTTTTCTTGTTTGGTTTTGATTGGTTTCCTGTGAACAAAACTATCGCATCCCATTTCTCTTGGGATTCAAGCATAATTGCTACAAAATTATCTTTCGACGGTCGCGTCAATCTTACTTCCGCTGTAAGCCTGAACTGTCTTCTGTCAAGTTCGTGCGCGTGCACACGAACGAGGTATGAAGGCAGCGTCTGTCCTTATATTCTACGCATGAACAGCAATCGCTATTGGGCCTATGCTCTCTTATTAGATATATTCCAAAATATCCGTGTATTCTCTCTTCAATCTTCGATATCAGGGACGTCCCATCGTCCACCTTTCCGCGAGACCCATTCTTTCGGCCATCTTCTGAAAAGATTGTTCCTTGCTTTGATTCGTATATTCGGACAGCTGACGGTGTTTTCGCCGATACTCATCTTTATCACCCCGTATTTCCTCTCTCGCTTTCTCAAGGGCTAGTAGCTCTATAAGAGGTATCCCCGATAGGACGTCAGTCAGGCATTGCCCATGTCAAAAGTGACGATGTACCAGAGAATATTCTAAAAACTACTGGTTTAGAGTCGAATTTTTAGATCTTGAATCTTTAACAAATCTTGCGCCAAAATACCTACAACTTAAAAATATTCATTGCCCTATATTCTTGTAAAATGCTACATCAGCATGGTATTTTTTGAATTTGCACGTGTTACAGATAAAGCAGCACGTTTGTATGATATTCATTTACTCTAGAATATTTTTTTATTCAAGAGCATTTCTTTGGTTTTTTAATTCAAACGAATTTTTATTTATATAAGAACTAAGCTGTCATCTCGAAACAAACTCTCGTACAAATCGTTCATCTTAGTTCCTACTTATAAGAATAAATCAATTTAACTCCAAGTCTTTATTTTTTATTTATACATCATATTTTCAACAAAGCGAATAATATTCTTTCAATACGGTAGAACTTCGTAGTTATTTTATGTGAAATGCGTGCGTGGCTATGTCTTGCGATATAACGTCGATTGAAAATTTCAAAACTTCAAGCATACAAGAATATACGTTGATGCAGGTATGCAGGAATGGCACGCAATTGAAAATCTGCGATTCCGGCGACGTACTAAAGGTGCGTACAAGTTAAGAGCACTGGGAAATTCAAAAAGCCAGATGCGTTTGTTGGAAATAATATAACGAACAATCAACAAACTGCATATGATGCAGCTTTGAAAACATGGGATAAAGCGAGTCAAATTATTGTTCACACACTCGAGTCTAGAGAGCCATGTAAAACCGCAAATGAAATATGGATTAAGTTGCATTCGACTTATGAACAATAAAGCAAACGAGTTTACATTCAGTTGCAAGCTGGACTTTTCAATATTTGTTTAATACCACGGAAAATATGGTTAGGTATATGGTTAATCGTGAAGGACTTATTTTTCGAATGTAGAATTTGAAAATAAAACCAGACGATTCGTGTTTTGTTGTTTAATTTTTAAATAGATTGCCTAAAGAGTACGACAATCGTTTTTGTTTGTGATAATAATAAAAGAAAACCTTTTAAATGTTTTAAATGTCACGAACAAGGGCATTTATTGAAAACGAAATTATTCCACGAATAAATAGCAAAATGATTGTAATAAATTAAACTTCTTAACTAATGATGACAAGGAAAGCTTTTGTTACAGAAATTTTGAGCTCGGTATCTGACTAGGATCTTCGGATCGCAAACTCAGGAACTGTGGATCATTTACAAAAGAATAGACATTGGTTTTCTATTTTTGTCTTTCTTTGAAAATCCGATTAAGATTTACATAGGCGACAAATCAACTAAGGATGCTGTTGAGGTAATATAAACTTTAAAGTAATCGTTGATGGAAAATAGTCATTGTGTGTAATGGAAAATGTACTATCGTGCCGCAAACGTGAAGAAATTAATGTTTTTTATTTCAAGTCGTCGAGCATTGCATGTGAATTTTTGGGTGATGGCAAGGTTCAGGCTTGCGAAGTACAATACAGTCGACTTTTTCGAATGTTGATTCGCATAAAAATTTGAAAAATTTAAATATCATGTGAAATTCACCTAGTTTCGAAAAATTCAGTACAGGTATGGTACGAAAAGCTAGGACATCAAAACAAAAACTATGAGTCAAATAAAAAAGATAAAATGTGGTACAAACAAGATATATTCGTTGGTTACTCGAAAGACATTTGAGATCATCCAGTTTAGTTGTAGTCTGAAAGGAAAGTAATAAGAAGTACAGACGTCGAATTGATACTAGAAGAGACAGGTAACATGTGAGATTTTTCCTATTAAAAGCTAACAAGGAAATCAACAGTCTGAAAGTGAACTTATAGTACAAGTTTAAGTTTAACGTGAACTAGTAGTGCAAGATTCAAGTTCAATATGAATCTATGGTGTCTGACAATGTCGTCGAAAATAAAGCTGAGATTCAAGATTTTGTGGATAATAATAGCGATGAGTGTTTTTATAATTCTTTTGTTGAAGATTCTAATGGGACGCTGACTAATAACTTTATTGGAGACATATCGCTGCAAGAAGATAATCAAACTGAAAAAGAGCAGACAAGAACGTTACGAGATAGGAAGACTATCAAAGCTCCACGATAGTTAATTGAAGCGGATATAGCAGAGCTTGACGAACCGTAAACTTTCGCCGATGCTATGAAATATCTGTCAAAAAAACAATGTACTAAAGTTATAAACAATAAGATCTAATCGTTGGAAACAAATTCTTCCTGGAAACTTGCCGATTTACCTGTTGAACGAAAAGCAATCACAACCAATGTATTTTTCGTATAAAACGCGATGATAGAAAGTTATTACGATGAAACTTTTAGCCCCGTAGCTCGTTTTGTCACTATAAAATCTTTATTGAGTATTGGAGTTACAATAATTCGATATGAAGAGTATTTTTTTGAATGGGCATCTTGAAGAAGAAATTTTAATGCCACGACATGAAGGTCTTCAAGATTCCACTGAACGCGTACGCAAATTATATAAAAGTTTGTGTGGTTCAGACAAGCGTTAAGATATTGAAATGAACATTTGAAAATAAAATTATTTAAATGATGTATGAAAGTGAACATGGTAGATTCTTGTTTATTTTATTTTATTGTTTGGAGAATGGTGATAAAAGATAAGTTGGTATCCGTCTTGATAATTTAATCGCTGTGTCAAATAAGAGTGTGATCGATTGATCTTTTTGATGAAATTGAAAAATTTATTTGAAATAACAACTTTCTCTTAAATGATGCGGCAATTTTCGTTAATCAACAAAGACATAAAGTAAAAATTTTTATAACTGTTTAGATGAATAAGGTAAATATCGTTCATGTGGCTATTGACATACAGCCTGATAAAGCAGAATTAAGGCACGAATATAAAGGACTATATCGAGAAGCAATTTAATGTTTCACGTATTTAGCACTGGTTTCTCGGCCTAATATTGTATTTGCGGTTAATTATTCATCTTAACTTTTAATAAATCCTCGGGAGCGACATTGGCGCGTATTTTGAAATATTTGAAAGGAACGACAAATCACGAAATCTCATAAAAATGTACTTCTGAAACTGGCAAATTGAAAATTTTTTCTGATTCTGATTATGCGAGCAGTCCAATTACTAGCCGATCTCCAAATGGAATTGTATCAATCTATTTTGGTGGAATGATTACATGGATAAGCAAAATACAACGAAGTGTTTCGCTCTCAACTACTGAAGCTAAATATATAACTGTAAGTGAAGCATCTAAAGAGGCTATTTTGTTGAACATATTATTTCGAGAGGTAGTTGTATGTTACAAAATGTGCCAACTATTTGTTTCCATCTAATACAAGCGCAATCAAATTGTCCAAAAATAATTAATTTCATAAGAGGTCGAGACGAACATCTGTACGATACCATTATGTGCACGAATCGTTATAGCGAAAGAAACTTTCGATTCAACACGTATGTAGCAAAGAATAAGTAGCTGATATTCGTATAAAAAACCCGATAAAAAGTCTAATCTTTGAGAATTCGTGTAGTTTTTAGGAATGTAGAATCGATGAAAAATAACGTCTTAGGAGAAGTATTAAGGATAAAACAGTACGTTTATATGACATTCATTTATTCTAGAATATTATTTTCATTCAAGAACATTTCTTCTGTTTTCAGTTACTAAGTGAATTTTCATTCTTAGAAAAACCGAGCTGTCACTCCGAAACAAACTCTTGTACGCATCGGTCATCTTTGTTCCTCATTATAAGAATAAATCAATTTAACTTTAAATCTTTATCTTTTATTTGTGCATAATATTTTCCTCAAAGCGGATCATATTCTTTCAATAAGATCATTTTAGAATATCATCGAATGAAAATTGTAAATGCGAAACATCATTCGTTGATGGTAAGTACTTCGGTACGCGAAGTTTGCACGAGAAACAAACTGCAAAAAAGTACAAAATTTAATGATTACCAAAAAATACCAGTAAAGTCTAACTGGATCCTCAATATTAAAAAAAGAAGTAAGATCAATTGTAAAGTGCGGGTTAAAAAACTGTTTTGTTTGAATCGTCAAAACAAGATAAAGATGGTCCATTTTTTTACAAACGCATCTTGCCAGCTATTAAGCAATATTAGTATCGCGTGACTTCTTGTACGTTGAAAAACGTCAAATTTATTTGTATCGATGAGGTACGGGATTAAATGAGAAATCACACAAAACACAACAGCATGCGTCGAAGATTAACAAAGTCATTAATAAATGCCCTGTTGGTATTAGAACTTGTTCGATAAAAAATAAATTTCGTATCATTTAGATATTCGAAAGTTTGTTTCTTGAAAACATGTTGTTTGTCGACTTTATCGGTTATCACTTTATAGTCAATTATAATAAATTAATTTAAATTAATATGACAAGTCGTTTTACTTCAAATACAATATGACTTTGACTACATGTCAAATTTTAATTAAAAAATTCACATCCTATTCAATAAATTAATTCATACGTATACAAATTTCACTACCATTCTTTCCTAAAAATTGCCATTGAAATGAATACATTGTAAATTAGTGTTATTCTTATCACTTGCTTCTTTGTATTATAATCGATCATCCAACTTAGAATCAAATTCGCAATTTTCTGAAAAAAGTATTAAATTTGTTTTTACATATTGTACATTACGACCACGACTAAAAGAATTATTGTTTTTATTTAGTATTAAACTGTTGGTAACAAAATGTATTGTTAATGTTTTTCCATGATATGCATTTGTTAAGTTTTTTCGATGGCGATGATAGGCGCAATAAACAAAATCATATTTATATTTTTTTCTATTTATTTTTATAACAAACGTATAAATATATAAGCAGAAATACATTGGTTGAACAGTATACCATCAATCTGAAATTGGTTTTAAAAAAAATATTACTGAACTTGTCAGTATATTCAGCGGGTATATAATCTTTTATCTCTCTTTTTTTATTTATCTAAATTATTAACGATTAAAGAAATATGTATTTTTTGTTTTTTAATGGAAATGAATTAAAAAAATTATGTCCGATCTATTTTATATGACTAATTAAAAATCATTATTAATCGTTAAAAATAACATAACTCTGATAAATTACAAAGTTTTGTACAGAACAATAGTTAATAAAAAAATGTAAAATTTACAAGTATTCATGAATCGGAACTACAAATCGAGGCATCATCCTCTGATTTTCCATTTTCTAGGTCTTCTTGCATTTTTTCTTGATCTGATGTCTCTTCCCAGTTATCGTCTGATTCACTATCCAATTCAACTTTACCAAGTTCCACATTCTCGTCTGAAGAATCTACATAATTTATGTTAATAAATAAAATTTTATTAAGATAGTACTTTATGTAATGTTTAACTAATAATAATTTACCTTGATCTTCATAAACCAATAGACATTCTTCTGTAATATCTTTTTCTTGCTTTTCTTCACGTTCTTCAATCTGTCCCGCTATGAGTTCTACTCTGCCTTTCAATTTCATCATTGGCATTAAAAGTTGTTGTTTTGCGTCAATAAAACTCAAAATTGGAGCCAATATTTCGCCAATGTTTGGCTGAGCAATAATAGAAGCTGTATGCGATAGGAGTAATGCTTTTAACCATACAACCGCAATTGTAGCCCTAAAACATAATTATAACATAAATAACGAAAGTAATTATTTAATATCATTCAGAAAGTCATTTCCTTTAATAAACGTTAAATACTCACGCAACAGTTTTTCCTTCAAGCATGGTAGTCAATTCTTTTATTAGAGGAACTATAGCTTGAACGGGGAGTTTAGCAACGGTATTTTTGATAACACTCTCTTTCTTTACATATAAAACAGTTGATAATAAAGCCTTGTCTCCACTGTGCAAACCTTGTATCAACAATTGAGCTAGGTTTTCACCTTTTGGAGCTGCTTTATTAGGAGTACTTTCTTCATTCATACTCAAATTTTCTAATCTAATTTTAAGTGGAAGCTGTGAACCAGTGCCTGATTTACTCCTTTTAGTTGACAACGATGGACCTGCCTCGCTAGCTCCTGAAAATTATGATTCATTTACAAATTAAAAATACTCTAATGTAAAAATTTTTGTATATAGATTTATGTTGTACCTGGAGCAATGTATACAACGTTTTCGTCTTCCGTTTCTGCCGATTTCGTCTTCATTACGACTTCATCTTTCTTATCTTTTTGTTTCCTTATATCTGTTCTTACCAAACATTGAACTTTATCAGAAAAATCAGGCACAATTTTTTCTATAGTTAAAGCAGAAAATGAACCATATGCCAACAATATTTTTGAATCTTCTATCAATTCTGCTTGTAAAATAGGAATTTGCTGTACTGATTCTTTTTGACCAGCATCTGAAGCTATCAAAATATTTAATGTTGGTTTTAAAGGCTTTGGAGATGTACCATTAGGTTGATATTTAAAAAATTGTGCATGTCCTGATCTTGTGACAGCTAAAATATGTATTTGTGAATCTTTCATAGATGCAACTGAAAATGCAACTGCTTCATCTGGTAGAATTAATGTTGCTACAGGCACTTTATCTTTTTTCACCTGTGAGAATATTACATTTATAATCATATATCGATAATCAATTAATAATTATAAAGAACAATGATTAATATCCTTACTTCATTCAATGACCATACACTGAGGTAATCATCTCCACTTCCACTGCTGAATAGATAACTAGTTTCATTTGTTACTTTTGCACAACATAAAGTATTCACTTGATTTGCATGTCCAGTAAAAGTACCAATTACTTGTTTAGTTTCCAAATCCCACCATTTTATAATTCTTTCTCCAGATAAAAGTGATTTCCCCTTTGGTAAAACTACTAATGATGTTACTTTCCCTTTCCCTGATTTCCATTTGCATTTAACTGATTTTTCTTGTAGATTCCATTGAACTATTTGTTTATCTTCTGCTGCTGTAAACAAACCAGTGTGTGGACACCATGTTAAGGCTGTTATACTTGAATTGTGTCCATTTTCAAGTTGGTCATTTATGGAAGAGGTAGAGATATCATAGAGAGTTACATTGCCATTTGTTGAACCCATAGCAATTATTTCTTTGTCTTCTTTGTCTTCGTTTATAGACTTCTTTCTGCGTTTCTTCCATGGTGATGCCTGGTAAATTGAAAATATTATTAATTCAATTGTTCATAAGACTTCTAACGATAACAAACAATAATACAAGAAATTGTATACTATAAAATAAATTACATGAGACATTGAAATAACATCTTTATCAAACTTTTAATATATAATCTGGCAATTGAACAAAGCTAATAATTTCATAATACCAGTAGAAATAGTTAAATAACTAATATTACACATGTAAGAGAATGCATATTTATATATGCAATCAGTGGATAACGTATAATTTAATTACTATTTAAAAATCTAACCTGAAAAATGATATGTAAAAGATATTAATTTCGTCTCAATAATAACAATTGGCTATTGTCAACAGATAATGAAGTTAGGTTATAGATCACAAAATAATAAGTTTTCGAATACTATTTCCGGCGTAATCATCAAACTTCTCAAGAAACCAATCGAAAAAGAAGTAAAAAGCACATGGCATACCGCGGTGGTGGCGTGCGTGCCTACGACGATCCATCCTAAGATGCTACAAGGAGAAGAAAGATGCAGATTTGGCACGAATTCCTGTTTTAATCGGCTTGTTGCAGTTTCAAATATTTTTAATTTTCCATCTGTGCCACAAACAGCGAGAAACTGCCCATCATGGGAAAACGCCGAGTGGCTTGTGCTCGCCATTTTTGTTGACTGAATTATTAGGTCCTCCGCTTTCTTACGAGTATGTAGGTTCTTTTTTAAACTGCGTGTATTACTATATATACATGCGGCGACCGCCCCAAGTCGCATCCAGCAAGTGCCTATTTTAGGTGCTCGTAGTGCCGGCAGGAGGCGCGCACAGAAACAAGAGTTAGTGATCTATTCATGGAGACTGTATACAGACCGATGCGAAAACAGCCCGACACAAATAAAATTTTATAAAAAAAAATAATCACATCTCACGTATGTCTAATTGTACTTCTCGAAAAAATAATTATTTGTTATTGTACCATTATATTTCTCATAAAAAATAAAAAATATCGTTATCGATAATTCACCTCCTATTTATTCACATAAAAGACATAATTAAGCAAAAACAAATTCACAGAAAAATTGTACCTTCTGTAGTCTAAATTGTACCATCAGTACAATTCTATAAATTTGTTTCTAAAAGAAATAATAGGACAATTACAAAGCTCTACGCCTGCGCAAAGTGCATTTCCGGATGACATCCTTGTAAGTTGTAACAATTAGTGGTAATTTGCAATCGTCCTATTATTTCTTTTAGAAACAAATTTATAGAATTGTACTGATAGTACAATTTAGACTACAGAAGGTACAATTTTTCTGTGAATTTATTTTTGCTTAATTATGTCTTATATGAATAAATAGGAGGTGAATTATCGATAACGATATTTTTTATTTTTTATGAGAAATATAGTGGTACAATAACAAATAATTATTTTTTCGAGAAGTACAATTAGACATACGTGAGATGTGATCATTTTTTTTTAATAAATGTTATTTGTGTCGTTCCAAAAAATCCATGGATCTATTACAGATTTTTGTTAGGCGTGCCTGGGGCCTTATTGTGGTGTTGGTCATGCGCATTTGGACGTTGCACAGGATATTATGCGTCGATCGTGTCCGTCACAAAACTAATTAACATTGATTAGTTACCCATTAACAATATTGACATTCTCCTTGTGACAGGCAGATCTGCGCACAGTATACTGCGCAGTGTCCAAGTGCGCATGACCAACACCATAAGGGTGCTCTTACATGCGAGCGGACAAACGTTCGAGCGGACAAGCGGACACCCAAAACTCATAAAATTTTGTCCGCCGGTCGAAAATTTTTTGTCCGCTGGCGGACGGAAAACTGTCCGCCAGCGGACACTGGCGGACAAAATTTTGTGCGCTAGCGGACAAAATTTTGTCCGCTGGCGCACGGAAAACTGTCCGCCGGCGGACGAACAAAGGGTTCTCCGTTGAAGGCTCCAGTATATTAGTATCTTAATAATTATCAATTGTTTTTTTTTTCAATAATGCCATTTGAAGCCATTCTCACGGCGTGCGGAAAGAAGCCTTCCACACGCGTTTATCGAGTTCTTTTTAGTACTTTTAGCTCTGCGATTTGATAACTAATGATTTTAGCAGAAAAAGCTTCAGATAAAAGTTGTTCCTTATTATATTATCTACAAAAAAGTCAGTGTAGCCATTATTGTAAATACATTAGTTTACTTGCAAATTTAGAAAAAACATGAAATTTTGTAAACCATTTCAGGTTTTCGTGATTTTTTTGGTCAAATAATAATTTTAGAATAGTGCCTTCACTGACTTTTTTGTAGATAATATAATAAGGAACAACTTTTATCTGAAGCTTTTTCTGCTAAAATCATTAGTTATCAAATCGCAGAGCTAAAAGTACTAAAAAGAACTCGATAAACGCGTGTGGAAGGCTTCTTTCCGCACGCCGTGAAAATGGCTTCAAATGGCATTATTGAAAAAAAAAAACAATTGATAATTATTGAGATACCAATATACTGGAGCCTTCAACGGAGAACCCTTTGTTCGTCCGCTGGCGGACAGTTTTCCGTCCGCCAGCGGACAAAAAATTTTCGACCGGCGGACAAAATTTTATGAGTTTTGGGTGTCCGCTTGTCCGCTCGAACGTTTGTCCGCTCGCATGTAAGAGCACCCTAAGGCCCTCGCCACATATGCGCATACGCGCGCGTACGAGGGCGTACAAACGCGTACAAATCGCTAAAAATTTTGATAGTTCCAACAACAGAAAATTACTACTATTCCTCGCATGCCCCAAACGAACACACTTACTCCCGGAACAAACGTATCATAACGTTATATTATTGAAGGTTATGATACGTTTGTACCGGGAGTAAGTGTGTTCGTTTGGGGCATGCGAGGAATAGTGAGAAATAGTAGTAACTTTCTGTTGTTGGCACTATCAAAATTTTTAGCGATTTGTTCGCGTTTGTACGCCCCTCGTAAGCGCGCGTATGCGCATATGTGGCGAGGGCCTAATAAGGCCCCTGACACTACCGAGTTAGTATAGCATTCGTTTGCGCATGTCGTACCTGTTACTTCATATGCTCAATAAATATTTTAATTATGCCAAAGTATTGTTTTGACTAGCCCAAAAATGTTCATAAAAATGTGCCAAGTATAATGAAATCGATTATGTCTGACTATAGGTACATACTACTTTAGAATTACCCGATGGTCATAGCAATCCCAAAACTGTTCCGAAAAAGTCATATAAATTTTTTTGTCTGAAGCTATTTGTTTTAAGGCAAAATAAAAATTTATAGACTGTTTGATTATTGTTTGTAAAGCTTTGAATTGTCGTATTTCAAGTGACTATCATTTTCGGATCTGTTTTTTAATCAACGAAGGATTTAGACTATATAGTATATTTAAAGCTCAGGGCTGAAAATAAAGTAACTCACTTAAGGGCAGAGAAATTAAAGATTATCATGATAAATGGTGATACGTAATTTTCAAATTATATAATATAATATATCATACAGGTGCAAAATTAATTACAATAAAACAGTTTATTATAGAATGGTTAAATGAATAAGTTGGTTTGAGTATGATTACATTATTAAATTACGTACGTTTAACTTTTCTAGATTATTTTTTGTTACAAACTCAGTAATCAAATTATCAAAACCAAGAGCTCTTTAGAAAGTATTCCTTATTATTTTTTTATTCTTTTTAGTACTCAAGAAGAATCTTTCTTCTTGACAATTTGCTATTGAAACAAGGTGAAAAACAAGATGTTTACAACCATGAGAACTGTGTAGAAGTTTGGTATATAGTTTCATCATGTTTGCGCTTTATAATATTTGAATATTGGCGCGATCACAGGTGATCTATTGCTACACTCATGACGACACGTGTCGCCCAGATCAGGATGTCACGGTCACCACGTTGTCAATGAAAAAATTTCTCTCAGGAATCGGTTCCTTAGATAAGTATATTATATTATTTTCCACTATCCAGTCTTCACGGAGACTATATATATACGACTGCATATCTCTATTATGTTGCCGCCAGTCCGTATGTGGACGCGACTGTGAACAAACTAGAGCCCCAGCGGCAACACTGTAAGAAATTAGACCGTTGGGTTATTATTGTTGGCAACGCTGTCAGAAGAGCGTTTAAACAGGTTTAAAATCTAAACGTCGGTTGCGTTGATTACCGCAAAATCTCTTTCAGGAAATTGTTTATCGTATAAGGTGAGATTTAATAAATTCATTAATAAATCGCGTTACTGTTATTGTAAGAATAACTAAGTTTGATATGAACAAGGAATTTACCAGTGTACTTTTACAAAATCAGGTTGTATTAGTCGTTAATTCTTAACCTCCTAAATGTTGATATATTTTTTACCAGGTAGCAGCGTATTAATATTTAAACGTTGAATAAATAGAGGGACTTTTCGAAAATGCCTAGGACTAAGCAGAAAAGATCAAAGAGAAGTAGTGCTGGTTATGAACAAATGCTTCGTGATTTCAACCGGTTGATGCAGCTGAGAATTCACAAAGTGGAGCTCGATTTCAAAGCGTTAGAACAAAAGTTCGATGCCTCGATTCAGCTTGCCCTCACTCGTTATCCTCCAGAAATTCAGAATATGACGCTGCGAGAACTGTTAACGGTTGAGGAAACTCCAAAGAAGGAAAATTTACCTCCAAAGACGCCGAGGATTGTGAAGGACAGTTCCAAAAAAAATTCAATGAAACTACAGAAGAGCATAAATCCCAAAAGAGTAACAGCAGCCTCAGATGATGGCTATATAAGTGAATCAACAGCAAGTCAGGCATCCAAAATGACATTAGGAAGTACTCATCGCTCTAGGAGTGTCTCTCGAGACAGAGCCAAGCAGAAGTCGCAACTGTTGGCAACTGCACAGAAGACTACCAAGAAAGATTTGTTAAAAACTCCAGACACTAAAACAAGTAATTTATTTGTAATCACTCCAAAAGTTAAGATGAATTCTGCTGTCAATGTTCTTAGAAAGCCAAAGGATGGAGAAATGGTATTTAGTACAGAGGGTAGTCCATTGTTAGTTTCTACCACAGTTAACGATAAAACAGCAAATATCAATGTTCCGTTGAGAAATGGAACTATAATTTCTCTTTTACCATTTAATGAAACTTCATTGACAGAAGATATACGTTTAGATGATGAAACCAAACATCAACTCAGGATTTTGCAGAGCCATTTGAACAAAGTTTTGAAATAATTAATTGTAGTGCATCTCGGATAAGTGAACTAATTTTATTCAGATATATTGCGTATGTAATTTAAAAATGTGATTTAGTTGAATCTAGAGACTGCATCTATGATGATAATATACAATTTTTACATCCTATTTATAGTTAGTGATAAAATTTCATACTTATTTAATTATAAAACTTTACTAGGTAATAAATGCATATGTTTTACAATAATTAAATGTTTTATTTCTTAGAGAATGTGTCATCAAGATCATTTGTAAATAGTAAATTTAAGAATACATTCAAAACCATATAAAAATATTCAAAGTTCTAAATTTTCAACTGAAACAATAAAAAGAACCATCTGTAAATAGTAACTGTACTTACACTTTACAATTTTCAAGTCAGTTTCTTAGCTTGAAAAAGAAAAAACAAGACAAGTGAGTATTGCAGTTGTTTTTATGAAAATAAACAGTAATTTTGAAATGTGCTTCTTGCAATAATGATAATGATAAAATAATGAAAGATTGCTAGAGAGGGAAGAGCAATTGTTTCTTTTTTAAATACACTACCAGCTACAAAAATAACAACATGAATAATTATAATTAACTAATTTATATTGTTTATTAATATACTAATGATGTATGGTGGTATCAGTAAACATCGTCAATGATTGATGACTGAACGACGGTTGACAATGATCGTTTACCAAATATTCAATATTAAAGTTTATTAACAATTACACGTTAATCGCTTGACTTTTTTTTATTTTTGTTGCGCTACAGTCGTTATGTGTTACGTTTTCAATGCGTCTATCAGCCTCGCTCACACATACGATAATAGAAATAGAAACGTGGCGTATAGAAATCCTTTGACTCTCTGCGGCTTATAGAAATGTTTATTTAAAGAATTTCGCTGCTTGTTTACATTTTATTTTCAAGGGACATATCGCTAAGTTTTGAAAACGCATCAGTTTGGAAATTATTCGACGATTCGTGGTTGCACCTCTCTATCTTTGATAATAAAATATATACGATTCTTTGATTAGTACGCAGCGTTCAAACTTAAATTAGCGATAGATATATTGGTTTTCGTTTTTTTCTCTTTGAAACTCGCTATCCTCTGGCATAATATGGACATTTTTCAAAAACTTACAGAGTTTATTATAATAAAAGTTGTTGCATAGTGGTGATTAATGCCCTAATTAATCAAGTTACAATTAACTTTTACATTAATCACTGTTGTAAATGTTTTTTTTTATTTTGTTGATACTCTCAACGTTATATCTCAGACACTCATCTTTTTTCGTATATCGGACAATGAAAAAGCATTTTTTCCTGTTTTAGTATTTTTTAAATACTTACAACATATATATTTATTTTATTTTCAATTTATTCTATTTGTTCACTGATGTCTCGTGATTATTCACATTGCTTCTTATCGTTGTCTTACAAAGTAATTTCAGCAGTGCCCTCACATTAAATTTTTTTATGAGTCTTTCTTTTTTCCCATTTTAATTGCTGACTCGTTTATAAGCTGCATTCACCTTGGCAACGTCTTTATTCATGTACGCACGTACATGTAAGTACGTTTAACCTACGGATTGTTTAATTCATTGAAAAGTACAATTGGCTTACCTTATTATGTTTTTAAATATCATTACAAATCGTTTTACTGAACACTTTAAAAGATTCTTGGTCGATTGTTAAGATTGGTTTTGTAGTGATCACACATTCGGTAAAACAGAATACACGTACGAAAAAATAAAATTTGAAATTCCTTTCATTTTTGTAAGAAAAAGCATATGAAAGTTAGCGTTTTCGTTTATATCATTCTGCCTGTAAAAAATACACACGGTCAGGCCTACGAGCGTGAAAGTATTTTGTAAGACCACATTAATTAATTTTTTGTTTACTTTTACGATAACAAATTTGCGGTACTAAACTAGTTATTGTATTTTTCCATACAGCGCTTTCATTTATCTTTTTTTTTCTTTTATATAAGGGAAGACACGTGACGTCTCATGAAATTCGAAATTCTCTCTTTCTCTCTTGTCATGCATCGCGCGGGGGCGGGTACGAGCGATTCGTCTGAGGAAATATATATATGCAAGACACGGCGGGACGTTACATATACATGTTATATGCGCGTATATAACGAAGATAATCCGTCGTTTGTATATGTAAGATACAACGCAAAAAGAAAACATTGTTGTGCATGAACACTTTCGTTGTTCGGACTTGTGATTTAACAAATCAATCTCTTTCCGGTTCCGTCTCTGCATGATATTATTCCGAGTATTTCAATTGCAACGCCCTATCGTCCTTATCAAACTCTTTGATTTCGTCTACGAAATAACGAACATTTACTTTTTCTTTCTCTCACTCTCTCTCTAACTCTCGTCACAGTTACGTTCGACGTACATATTAAGCACTCGAACGACATATATTCTTTTTTTCTCCTTTTAATTATTTATTTTTGTAATATATATATTTCGGCTATGTATTTGCATACGTTTAAAATTCAACTATCAAATAAAAATCAACACACTTCTTTGTATTTATATCTCGTAAAACTCATGGTCTATATGAGAAGCTCGAAAAGTACTTTACGGACTCAACTATACATCCACTTTTATCAATAATTTACTAATCTAAGCTGTATACGTGAGTGTGTAAGTTATGTATGGGTGTATATAATATGCGTCGATAAAATACTCCTCGGGATATGCAATTAATAAAAAACACTCATAGATATATTTATATTCATATCTCTCGGTATACATACGCAATAATAAATAGTTCACAATAAAATTCCCGTATTCCTCCCACACACAAGTAAAAAACGCTATAAAGTAATCTCTGAAAACTTCATACTCTTTGCACGTATTATATTATTTTTTTTTGTTTTACCTTTTTGTTCATTTAAACATTATTTTTATTTTTCTTATTTCTTTATCTTTTTTCGTCAAAAACAATAAACGCTCTGTAGAAAAGAGAGAAAGATTCTCTCGTGGCTCTTCTCTGCACTGGTTATTACGATATATATAGCACATTAATAATGCTATCCGTTGCAGCCGTAGACAACATAATCGTATATATAATTACAGAAGCGATTGTTTCGTCTAGTTGTTATTTCCTTATATTGTTTATTCTTGTCGTCGGTCCGTTTTTAAGTACCGCACCGACGACGACGCGAGCGAAGCTGCTGTTCACCACTTGAGATTCAACCTTATATTTCGTCAACAATGTTCGCTTTCAAGTATGTATGTTTCATTGGTCTTTTGCTCAACTCATTTGTAGCTTTGCTCGCGCGTGCACGGAAGCTTATTTTTTTTGTCATTTGGCGTCGATTGTTCAAAAACGTTCTTTGATAGTGCGAGTGTGCTTTTGTTTAATTGTTACGTAAATGTCGTTTGTTTTTCTCTTTGGTTTGCTTTTCTCGCTTTATTTTGCCCGTTCACTTGCCTCGGTAGATCTCGATGATACGATCTTGATCGACGTACTCGAAAATGTGTGGCGCATCCATGAGGATGCCGATTGTCCCTGCTGTCGTCACGATGAAGAAGATGTAGAGCTGTAATCGATCTATCACCATCGCTACGTATTTCCAATCCTCTCGCGTCTAAACAACAATCACATTGTTTTTCTTGAGAAATGTTTCAACAATTGAAATTCACTTTTGCACGTTTCGCGAACAAATTTTCCGAAATTAAATCAAAATTTGAATTTCCAAGCGCGAAACTTCCGTCGGTATTCTTCTGTGCTATATATATGTATATATATGTAGCTGCGGGTCACACCCATTGGGAAAACTAGAAAATTTCGGCTTCTCGATGCAACTAACTTCAGACGGCTAGCATATTTATTGTCTCCGCGATCTACATAAGTACGCCCTCGTTGAGAAGTTCGCTGTTTATTATTTCATTGAAAACGATTTTCGCACTCTTTCATAATTTATCTCGGAGGATTATCGATTTTATTTTCTTACCGTATAAATAGATCTACATAAAAAGCACGCGAGGAGAAGACAACGATGAATATTTACGAGAAAGCAACGCCTACGTCAAAGCGAGTGAACCAAGTTTTGATTATCGATTCGAAAAAGAATTTTTCGCCATTGGGATTGCTCTCGAAAAATGCACACACTGACCTGAATGTAAAGATCCTCATTTCGTAGATGCTCAGCGATGAATTCAACAGCCTCGGTAGCCTTAGCAGCTTCGGGACTAAGTAGTACGGAATCCGAGCTTTCGGAGCCGCGCCTGTCGGCCAACGCCTCGGAGCCCGGACCAGCGGCCGACGCAGCACCCGAATGCTGAATCTTACGATTGATTTTGCAGTTGGGATGATGTAAATCCGACAGTTCCATTATTTCCATTTTAGATTTGGCTAACGCGGCTGGCAAGTGTTTGGGCAGCTCGGTTGGACTGCCGGAATAGGTTGACGTTGGCAGAGTCGCGTTCGGGATCTCCATCATCCAGCGCAGTCGTGTTTTCTTCGGCCGGCGCATCAGAAGCAGCGCTGGCAGGATTTTCAAGAAGATTCTGCGCAAAATGTTCAATCGTCTTTCTTTTCGTTTGCGTCGATTTACCGTAACGGTCGTAAAAATGAGCGAACGTCAAATGATGTAATTGAATTCGATTTTGATTGCAAGGCGAGATTCCACCCGGATGATGCGTAGCGATGTGTCAATCATCGTTATCGTTCTTTAAATAAAATTAACCTATCTAACGAAAACTGATGAGCCTTCACGACTCAGTGTTACTTTTGTTTTCCGACTAAATTGATATTGAAACATCGACACAAAGGCCTCATTCACTTTTGTCGCGCAAACATTGAAGCTCAATGTTAATACATAATTGCCTTCGACTCTCACGCTTAATATCTGCAACGAATCGCAAAGGCACGAATAAATCAAACGATCGATCAACAATTTTCAGCTGGTTTTGTTTTTTTAATGTTCAAGTTTTCTAATTAAAGTGCACGAAAACAAATTTCCTTGTCATATCAAGATTTGCCATAACAAAGTGTCAATTAATAAAATGTTGAATAAAATAGTAATTGGGTCAATGAAAAGATTTGTAGGATTCGTCGAGTTGGCAAATGAAAATTAAATTGGAACCTTCGAAGCAAGCAAAAAGAGAAACATCGAAACAATAATTCGACGCCCATATTTCTCCGTAAAGCGTTCATCATCATTCAAATAAATGCATTTATGTCCGTGCCGAGGTACGTGGACGAGAGACGGAGCTCGTAAAATCAGGCGTTCATTGAATGAAGCTCGACTGATTAAAATTGATTCGTCGCAATGGAGCGTCGTACATTATAGAAAGGAGAAAAAAGCAAGGGAGAAAGATGTACCTTCGGGTCATTTGTGGCATCCGGTGAGTGCGGGGTCCTCGGAAGTTCCAATTGATGATGACGACCGTCACCAAAATACTGACAGTGTTCATGATGAAAGTGAAAAGGAGATACTTGGCGATGAGCGGCAGCACCAGAGACGTAGGCGGCAATATTTTACTTACAAGCAGCAGGAACACAACCAGTGACAGCAGAATACTGATTCCTGGGTGGCAAACGTTCCACGTTCAATTTCTTTCGATGGCGGATTATTAAATAACGCTAACTGCTCGCGGTTGCCTCAAGACACACCGCGAGCAATTAAAGCGCCAGGTCGGACGTGAAATGTAAATCGATAAAGAAAAGCGCACTGTCCGTTTCGGCGACGATTCAGTGAGTCGCGCGCTCGCCATTAACCGAGTCGAGAGCAAAGCAAATTAGGAATAAGTGTACCAAGAGTGACTTTCTCGCCGGCCTCGGCTGGCAGGTAGAAGACGAGAACGCAGAGGAACGAGATGAGTACAGTTGGTAGAATCAAGTTGACAGTGTAGAATAGAGTCTTGCGCCTGATGATGATGTAGAAGGTGATGTCCGTCTCGGTCGGGAACTCTTCATAAACGTTGAGAAAAGCCGGCACGTTGATGATGTCCCAGGTGCCGCTCTTCCAGTAATCCGACAGGTCAACGAAGTTCTTATCGTTGTAGAGCGCCAGCGAGACCTGGTCGCCGTTGAACGTCCACGAGCCGAACTTCATGATACACGTCTGCTGGTCGAACGGGAAGTAGGTGACGTCGATGGTACAGCTGCTCTGATAGATCGCCGGCGGCACCCACAGCACCTCTCCGTTCGGATAGATCAGCACGTTACTCTTGTAGCGCACCTCGTAGTTGCCGTCGGCGCTGCAAAGTCAGGCGCGACATGATCGTGGAGCGCTGCGTGCAGCGAGGCGTCGCCGCTGCCGCACTTACTTATTGAAGAGCACGATGTCGGGCTTCCAAACTTTGTCGGGCGGTAGCCGCAGTACGGAGATGCCGCCGTAGTCCGCCTCGTCCCACTGCAGCTGATAATCCGTCCAGATGAAACGCAGCCAGACGTTGGACTTCATGATCTGGTTCTTCTCGTTCTGCGAGCAAAAAACAGCGATCTTTGGCGAGCTTGCGAGACAGAGACACATATACGTATCCGTGGATCGCAGGGGGATAGGGGGCGGTGGTGCAGATGGGCGGGTTAACTCTATCACTCGGCGCGCCCGCTAAAAAGTGCACGCAGACACGTACGCAAGAAATATAAATAGGGGCAAGAAACGTCGAGGATTGACTTACGACGTTGATCAGCTGCACAAAGGCCAGGCCGAATTTCACGTTGACCGTGTCGCTCATGTTCTGGACTGGCCTGATGAGTTTGTTGTAGCCGCGGAACAAGTCGCGTACCAGCCTCTCCTCATCCTCGGAGCAGAAGCCTACGGGCGGACAACAAGCCGAGTTTACGCGGTGCGCCGTGTCCTCGAAGCCGAGGCGCGAAACAAGCAAAAGATGTACTCACCGACGCAGAAGATGGCCGAGACGAGGAATATCCGCGTGAATCTCGTCGACGCGAGATGCATCCTTAAGGGCGCGGTGCGAGAGCAAAACTCACCCTCTCTCTCGCTCGCGCGCGCGCGCTCGCTCTCTCTCCGCGAGCAGCGAGAGATGAGAGTGAACACACAGAGAGCAGCAGCAGCACCACCGCCGCCGCCATCCCTCTCCCCTTTTCCAAATCAATAGCCACCTCCCTCCGCCAACCCCCTCCCCTTCCGCTTCTCCCGCCGTGCTTTCGCGTGCGCAAGCACTGCAGTACGAGCCTCTCGCGCGCATATTGCCACCCTGCACACACGGACTCGTCCCCTTCCTTACCGACCAGCTCAGCCTGCCGGGGCGCGGCGCTCTCTCTCTCTCTCTCTCTCTCTCTCTCTCTCTCTCTCTTTCTCTTGCAGCTTGCAGATTTTCTACGCGCACACGTGCAGTCATCGATCGATTATACGACTTACGAACAATACACGTCTGTACGCGAGTGCCATGACTTTGTGGCAGAGATTTTTTTCTTTGCTTGTTCGTTCGTGCGGGCAGATTCCTCCTTCAATGTTGATCGGATGAACGTTGACATCAATTTCTCGAAAATAATCTTCGTGATCGAGAGCGCTCGTCGAGGAAAAGCCGGATGAACCGTAAATTAATTAATTGAATCGCGGGTCCTTGAAATGCGATGAATCAGTCGAGATTTTTACGACAAAGGGCTTTGGGACGATCGACTCAACGCTACACCCAACGTATGCGAATAATTTTTATTTCATAAAAAAGATTGATGACGATATGGTAACGACGATCAAGGATACACAATATTGTTTACATTTGTGTATTCGTGAGTGAAAATGATGGCTTGCACGACAAAAACCACGCACGAACGTGCTCTTATTTGTAACTAACACAATCACAGCTAAAATTGCCCGTTCACTCACTCTTCGCTTTCACACCGAGAAAAGACAATGTACACAAGTTAAGCGTTAAAAAAATAATTGCAATATTTCTTAAGACACAGCTACAGTGAAAAAATAATAAATCGATACTTATAAACAGAGAATACACATTACGACGTTCAGTCTTGCAACAAACTTACAAGGCCTCGTACAAAGACCTCCTAAATTACGAATGGTTATTTATATCTCGTAAAGCATATAGAAAAAAGATTGGCTTCTGCTTTGAAGAAGCCACGAGTGCACCACTGACATGTGGCGGTACATCGTTATCTTGTGCGCGTTTGCGTTGTACTCGTGACTACAACGATTGTTATTACTAAAAATGCTTTGGTCCCACGTATATTTAGATCAGCCGGAAGATGGTTTAGATGGCCGCGAATTCAAGCGTTTAAGTATTTCACTGTCGTTGGGTAGGAGGCACGACGAAGAAAGGCCAATCAAACGGTGGTGCACTGCGGCGCCCTCGTCTCCAAGTTGCCGTTGAGGTTCTTGTTGATCGCGACGATGCTCTCCTTGACGTCGTTGCCCTTGGACTCGTCGTCGGCAAACGCGAGCTTGCCGAGCTGCTGCTTGCCGAGCTTGGCGATCGCCGGCGCCGCGTGCGGCATCGCGTAGCGCAGCTTCTGCCAGAACCAGGGCTCGCCCCACTTGACGTAAGTGTTGGTCTGCAGATAGGAGCGCAGGTCGGGCTCGAGCTGGTCGACCGGGCCGATCTCGCCGTGAAGCACGACGATGACGCGCGCGCGCCTCTCGCTGAGGGCCTGCTTGTGAGCGGCCTGGAACTCCAGCCGGCCCCACTCGCTGTCGACGAAGTGGCGCGTCAGCACGATGATCGTGCGCCGCGACTCGTCCACGCTGCGCGCGATCTGCGCGGGGATCCACTCGCCCGCCAGCCAGTCCCGGGTGTGGATGCACAGCTTGTACGGCCGCGGGCCGTCCTCCAGCTTCGCCACCAGCTCCTTCGTCACGAAGTCCTCGTCCTTGTGCGAGTAGCTGATGAACGCGTCGTAGATCTTGTCCTTGTCGACCTCCTCTTCGCTCACCAGGCACAGGCACATGCCCTTCGAGTACAGCCAGACTTTGATCTGCCGCTGGAACCTGAAGTAGAGCGCGGCGCCGAGTCCGAGCAGCACGGCGAACGCGCTGACCATCGACGCCAGCAGGACGACCAGCCGGCTCGACGTCGGGCACAGCTGCTCGGGCGTCAGGCTCGACAGAGAGGCGTTCCGTCCCGCGCACATGATCTCCGGCAGGTCCGCTATCTCTAGATAATTCGAGTGCACGAAAGTCAACAGGTCCCTGGACGAACAGTCGCAGCGCCACGGATTGTCGTGCAGGCTCAGCGTCGAGATTTGCGTCGAGTTCAGCAGCTTCTCGAGGATCTTGGGCTCGATGTTCGTCAGATTGTTGCCTTCGAGCAGCAGTACCTGGAACGATGGACGCCGTTAGGGCAGAGATCTTCGGACGAGAACGGCACGAGCTGTCCGCCGAGGCCGGGGAACTCACCTTCAGATTTGGCGAGAGGAGTCTTTCGTCGACGAACGATATGTTGTTGCGCGCGAGATTCAAGCTCGTCACCTTCTCGTAGCCCTTCTTGTACATCGACGGCGGCTCTTTTAGCTTGTTCATGCGCAGATCGAGCTCCACTTTGGCCACGTTCTGCGCGTCGATCCACTCGGGCGGCCGAGTCAAGTTGCGAGCCGCACAGTCCAGAAGCAGTGCTTTGTCTTCGGGCCGCAGCCAACAGTTACAGGCGTGATTGCTCGGCGAGCATGGATCGCCCGGGCGTGGCTGCTCGCTCTCCACCAGGCACTTCAACGTCTTGGCTTTCAGATCGAATACCTGACGATTCCACGTGAATGAACGGTCATTCGCGAGCGCGATAAGCAGTGATTATTCTTTTGTGGAGATGACCTATTCTCTTTGCTTTGCGCGGTCGTGAAAAATTCATTAACGCGAAACGAATGTTGCAGTCAATGGAAATATCGAAAAAAAAAATGCTTTCTGTTTAATAATAATGATTGCGAATTTTTCTCGCAAGCAAAAATAAAATTCACGACAATCCTCTTTGCATATTACGGCAAGGATAAAATCGCTCGGCACGTTGAAATTGCGCTGAATTTAATCGAAAGAACAGCGGATTTATGACCTTAACTTCCCGGCAATCGAGGCACAATAGAAAAAAAATAATAACAGAATTTCCGGGATAGAAAACGAACAAAAAGAAAGCATACAACGATTTCGTACGTCCGTACCAACCTGAGCGCCGAGCATGTAATCAGGACTGTCGCAGGTGAGATTAGCAGGTCTGAGGTGCACGTAGTTCTGTACATTGGGATGCATGTCGCCGTTGAGGTAACGCAATAGCTCGTACACCTCGCAATCGCAACGTATCGGATTGTCGGCAATGTCGACAATGACGTCGCGAGTCGTCGTCTGATTCATCGCCATTAACTCCAGTCGAGACAGTACAACGCGCGAGATGTTGTTGTGCCGCAGATCGACGCTCACGCTATTGGACACGAATTGCAGATCCTCCGTCTGTCGGGCAAAGATTAACAATTTGATGTAGGCACGCGCGCTCATTTTTTTTCTCCCTGCTCGCGATGAATGGCGTGAAAGATACTGGTTTCGGTCGGTGAAAGTATACGCAACGATACACCTTCGCAATTGGCGACCTTGAAAAAAAGACAAATAGTTCCGAGGACCGCGCGGCGCCGACATCTCCGGCGTTTAGTCGTCGGCCTTGATGCCTCGCGGATGGGGCGCGGTTCGCCGGAAAATCGTCTCGCGCAGTCCACTCACCTGCAGATAATTAAACGAGTTGTACTTGAGATCGAGAGTGCGCAGGCGCGTGTTGCCGACGACCCAGTCGCTGTGCATCTCGGTGATGTTATTGTGAGCCAAGTAGAGATTCTCGAGCGAGTGGCAGTGGTGAAACGGCGAGATGTGGCCGAAAATGTCGTAGAGGCCGGTGCGCAAGGTCAAGCGATTGTTCGCGAACTTTGCCACGCGCAAATTGCCAAGATCCTTGAACGCGTCCACGTGAATCCACATGAGCTCGTTGTTTTCCACGTTCAGGAAGCGCAACGACTCGAGGCCGAGCAGCATGCGACTGCGCGGGCCAAACATTTACTCGTCGAGTTAACAAGTTAAGCACTCGCGCACCTGTGCAGCGTTGCGCAAGACAAACACTTACTCGTTGATGTGATTGAGGTGATTCTTGGACAGATCGAGCCTGGTCAATTTGTTCGTAGCCTCGAAGATATTGTCAGGTAGTTCCTTCAAGTCGTTGAACGATAAGCTAAGACTATAGAGATTCGTAGTATTCTGAAATAATCTCTTGGGCAGAGTAGTCAAGTAATTGCGATCCATGGTAAGATTCTCCAGTCCGGTCGCTCCCCAAAACAAGTCCTGGGGCAACCGTAGTAATCCGTTACGAGTGATCATGACCGATTTTAAGGCCGTCAGATTGGCGAACAGCGCCTCCGGCAGTTCCGTTAGGTTTTGCTTGTTGTACAGCAGCTTGGCTACTCGCAACTTGCTGTTGGCGCTGAATAGGCCAACTGGCAACGATGAGAAATTGTTGGAGCTCAGATTTATTACCTCCAAGTTGGCGAGATCCTGTGTAATCGAAACACATAGGTACATTCTCCTCGCGCTACGCGACTCTCGTAATATTAAGCTTCGATGGAATTGCAACAGTTTTTCCTGCTTTCAATTATCGATCTAACTGCATAAGATCGTCGATTATTCGATCGTCACTGCGCGGAAAATCGAGGACAGAGGCATTAACCAGGCACCGTTGAAAGGAGCCTAGCTCGGAGCCACGTCTCGAGAAGAGAAGCAGACAATAGCAGGACAGACAAGGATCGGAGCTAAGGATGCTTTACCTTGAATAGATCGGCCGGCAGCGTGCTGAGGGCATTCTGATTGAGATCGAGAGAGACGAGTGTCGCGAGTCCTCGAAAAGCATCGGGCTCGAGCTTACGGAAGTCGTTTCTCCAGAGATTCAGCAGCTCGAGACTGTGGAGTCCGCGGAAGGTGCCGGGTTGCAGCTCCCGCAGTTGATTACTGCCCAACTCGATCGTTCGCAGCGTTCTCGCGCTGTCGAAGAAACCCGCCGGCAAGCGGATCTTCGTGTTGCGCAGCTCCAGCAGCCTCAGCGACTTCAAATCTACGAGCGAACGGGGAGGTGGGGCAAATCATTATATCTGCCGTCGATTGGACTTTCGCCGTCGCTCATTGTTCCGAGACGCTCGAGCGGATCGCGATGACCGCGGCGCTGATTACTCCTCGACGCGCATTCCCAGGGTGAGATCGACTGCGCGCGCGCGCGCGCGGCCAGGTGTAGTGCGCGTCTGGGGAGCAGGTATATAGAAACACAATCACCGAGAGCCGACCATTAGCGATGCGCGTTGCGTCGTTACCCGAAAGATTTCCCTCTCGCGCGCGCGCGCGCGCTCATGCCACCCGTCGCGCACGCGCGCATTCACACGCAACGATTTCACCTTCTCATTGGCTCCGCGGAGATCCCCTGACCGACTGTCGATCTCGCGCCGGGTAACGCGATAAAGCGAGACGACGACGTACCTCGAAGCAAATCGGCGGTGACGTTGCCGAGATCATTGTTGGACAAAATCAGATTCTTCACGTCCGGATAGGCCGTGAAATCCTGGCGAGCGAGGCTGCCGTGGAGTATAACGAACTTGAGAGTCTCGACGCCGCTGACCGCCAGCTGGGCGGCCACCCTCTCGGCGTTGGCGGGTCCAGGTGGCGAGCACCCGGTGAACACCAGCGTCTTGACGGCGCCGACCTCGAGCGAGGAGCCCAGCATGAAGTCCGCCCAGTCCGGCGAGTTGGCGCACTCGATGACCAGGCGCTCGTGTCGCTGGATCGACAGGTCGAACATCTGCGTGGCGTTGGCCTGGCCGCAGTGCACGCGGAACTCCGCCGGCGCCTCCTCGAAGCAGTAGCATTGCCGGTTGTCGGGGCAGTTGAACGCCCAGGCCGCGAGCGCGAGCAGCAGCAGCAGCAGCAGCGGTGAGAGCGCCGTCGCCGCCGTCCTCGTCATTGTCCGAGCTGGCTATCCGTCTGAAATCTGATTCGGAAGGGAGCGGTCAGAGAAGGGTCTCGGGGCCTATTGTGCTCGGCCCGAGGGGCTGGCTCTTCGATGATTTTCGAATCGCGCGGCGCTCCCGCCGGAGAATGAGATGATCGGCCGATGCCCATTGACGCGCAGCGCGCTTTCTCCGCCGGACCGACAATATAATAATATACAACTCGTTCTCCGCTTGGACCGATCGATTGAATAATAACTGTAGCGACGCTCGGCTCGCTTCCATTAGCGTCCCGTCGCGTTTCGTTCCACCGGCCTTCGCCAATCGAATCCCATTCTATTGCTGCGCACGCGCGCGGACCCTTCTTGCGCGCGACCACTCGATCCTACGGCGATATCGTTAGCATCGCCACCGCCACGGCAATTTGACACTTCGCTGATTCCGTTTCATTCTTTATCGGCAGTTCAAGCGCAGTTCGCCGAACAGACAAATGACGACTGCTTCTTTTTGTTAGCCCGACGCGCCATACATATTTAAATGCGCGATCGTTTACTCGGTCCTCCAATGGAAACGTATGCGAAGGTGCTTCGTGGAGCCTTGATGATGAGAACAAGAAGCCGATGCTGATTTCAGAGAAACACGGCGCGGTGACTTCATCGACTGGTTTTGCTTACGGACGCGCGTAACAAAAAAGAAAGAAATTGATAGGCGCGCGCGTAAAAATATGCTTGTCCGGCTGGCTGGAGTTGCTTCGTCGAGCAACGTGGGAAAACGCGACATTAATATGACCGACGTGTATTTAATTCGAGAACTCGCTCACCCATACCGAACGGACGATAACATTTAATCGAGAACCGCGCTGCTGGAATTCAATAGCTATTCTATTTGTACGTTCGGCTGCGTGCATGTCGCGCGTGCCTTTTGCGTCGTCCGCGCGCGCGCCGCAGTCGAGAGATGCCAATCTACTCTTAGCCCGAGAGAGAGAGAGCAATCGTTCTGCGGAGAGGTGCGAAACAATCGTCGAGCACCCACGACGCGCAATTCCCCAACGCGCCTTTTTCCGGGCTAAATCATCTCGCCGCGGCCGTTGGCGCGATCTTCAGAGAGAAAACGCAAACGATCTTCGAGTCGTTTCGATTGCAAGCTATAAATCTTCTCTCTCTCTCTCTCTCTCTCTCTCTCTCTCTCTCTCTCTCTCTCTCTCTCTCTCTCTCTCTCTCTCTCTTTAGATCTATTTGCGGTATTAGCGCTCTGGACAGGCAGCGATTTTCTTTTCCTCCGTCGAGAGTGCAACGACACGCGTGGCCTCTCGATTGATTCTATAGACGCGCGCGCCGACGCGGTGAAAGTGCCGTGCAATTTAATTTTCGCCGGTGTCGCTCGATCGCGGCAAAGTCATAAAAAGCGACCTGACGGTCGCCGTGTCGCGCGGAATCGCTCGGTCGTACATACGTAACATCCAGCATCGGCAATTAGCAGCGCGCAGATGAAGCCGCTTTCGGATCGGAACGCAAAACGACGAATCGCGCGGCGATCGAATCGCCCGACTCGAGTCGGACGCGGTAGGATAATGGGAAAAGCAACACTTACCGCGGGAAGAGTATCCCATGCACCGTGAGAGAACTCGCGCGCGCGCACTTGGACACTTCGCATAATCCTCGGCGCACCGTTGCGAAAGCTTCGCTCACTGCGCGGACGCGCGAGCGCGTGTGTGGTAATGTCTCTCGGCGCGTTCGCCACTTGCGCAAGCGTTGATGTTGCACGAGGCGAAAGAGAGAGGAGCGGCGGCCTCGTGCCAACAAGTCCGCCGAGCGACTGACTGAATGGACTGCAGGGAGAAACTGCTTGACGTCACGCGCTCGCGGCCGGGTCCCCACTACTCCGCCGCATGTGCGTCCGTGCTCGGCCGTGTAATGCCCCGCGCCCGAGCGCGCTGCGCTCGACGACGCAATGTTTATCCCGGACGAATGCGAGTCGCCGCGGCAGAGCGACCTGCTCCAACCTGCCCGGCCCGCGACGACCGATGGCGCGCGAATGGCCAAGGGCCGAGGAGAGGCGAGGAGGCAACGAGAAGCGTGCGGCTTATCGCGTCGAGGATTATTTGGCGCGCGTGATTTATCGCCTCGCGGGATAACGATCGCTCGCGCAGGAGAAATCGATAGGCGCGCGCGAGCGGAAAGGGTTGGCGCGGCGCGGAGCTCTTTCCTCGCGGTGCGTGCGCGCGCGCGGGTTGAACGAACCTCGCGAGCGTCAATTATTGCGAACGGCGGAGATCGGCCGTCTCTCTTTCTCGTGTATTATGTACTAAGTCTGAGACGTTGAGCGCGCAGATTAGCCAATTACGCTCGCGCATGTGATTAGTCGGAGAGACGGAGAAACGCTATCGCGGCGATCCGTTCGCACGCGTCCTCGCCGAGGCGAGAACGAACGCGGCTGCGTGTCAGGGTCGGCTTGCTTTCGCAAGCTCCTTGGGTAATCTTCGCGCGCCCCTGCTGCCCGTTCGAGCCCGCACCTCGATTAGCGTCACGCGAAAGCTCTACGTGGCGCAAACTCGTTTCAATCGCGAGCACACGCCTGAGCGGCGGATGTTTTTCCTGGTGCCGCGGCATTTGCACGCGGGCGTGGCATCTACGGCGAGCGCGCGAGGCCAAAGGTTTTCCTCTCGATTTTAGGCTCCGAGCTCGACGGCAGGTGGACGCTGCGCCATGGAAACTAAACTCAGAATGCCGCGAACAACGACGGACGGTTTTCCGAGGGCATTTTTCTTGTTTGTTCGATTGTGCACTCTGGGCACAGCGTGCATCGCGATCGAAGCCGCCTATCTTACGTCGCGCGTCTCGACTACCGGTTTATTCCTAAGTTGATACCCGAGCAACGCTTTTAATCATCGTAAAACGTTATACTTCGGATGGCTGCTCAATAAGCATTGCAGTAATAGTGCGGTTTATCTCTTCATTAAAGTCGGTCTGCTTGTAAGCTTGTGCGAGAATGCATATCGATCCCGACTCGGACTATTATTGATTCGTGGAAAAAGCCAAGAAGAATAACGGATTCTCAGCGATCGTTCGGAGACACGTGACCTAGCTCGCAGTCATTATCATCATCGTCATCATCATCGCCGCAGTAGACGAATGACTCTATGCAGCATCAATCGCGTCCGAATAAAAGGATTGAAAAGAAACAAGCACTTAATGATAAACGAAGAGTGGGTACCAATCTCCCGACGCATTAAACAATCTAACGGGAAAACCTATTCAATGAACCAATCAGCAGTGAAAGGAGTAGGCGACTGTCCTTATCGATAAAAAAAAATCTCGTACGAGAGGGCACACACAGGCGGCAATCGATCCTTTGACAGTGAAAGAATTTTGCTCTCTCGTGCTGCATTATTGCAAGTCACACTGAGGTACATACCATTATAGCGTAGCACCCGGCCGTATATACGTACTCGCGGGCCCGTTTATTATTTCACACGGGCAGGTCCCTTATCGCCTGCTGCTGCTGCTGCTGCTGCTGCTGCGTAGCGGGGCGTCATGTAACGGCCGTGCCTTTAGCTGTAATGCGACGCACGACGGAGCAACTCTTTCCACTGCACCGCGAGCTGCTCTCAACGTCTCGACCGTCGAGCGCAACGATGATCTCGTTGTCGGGCATTGTCGACTGCGCGCGCGCCGCTCGCATGCCCGCGACAGACATTTACATAAATGCCTGGACGCGATGACTGCAACGTTAATGACGCGCGCGACTGCTTGTGTACGCGATGCAGATTCTTGAATGCTTCGTCGACATGTTTCGCTAGACGAAGCTTCGCGTTCACTTTTTTTTTCATCTCGAATTCTTTGCTTGTCGACCACGCACTCCCCGTGGCACGTTGCGTGCAATGCTGTATTATTCGGAAAATGTTGCTTCTTCGTTTGAACATTACAACAACGATAACTCACGAGATTACCCCTAATGAGCTGTATCTCAAGGTTAATACGTGAAACGTATCGTGGTAAGAACCGTTTGAAATAAAGAACAAGATCATTAGATAAATGACGAATCTTTGGGAGGGGCAACGGGTACAAGTCGCGGGGCTTCAAATAAATCAAAGGAGGAAAGAAACGGGGACAGGAAGTACACATAGATCAGTGCGCGGGCTCGCCGGAAAACCTCGTAAAACGTCATCAACCCTTAAGTCCGACGGAAAGACGAGGTGATTTACAACCAATTTTTTCCCCCGTATATACGGCGACGTCCAATTTCTCTCATATACACGGCATTATAAACTGTTCCCGCACTGGCCTTCTGGTCTTCCGGAACGAGAGCCGCACAATTGCGTGAGCGAGAGAGTCGTCGAGGGAAAAATCTGGAAAACACGTGTTATTCGATATCCCGAGCCATGTGCGCGCGCCGAGAGGTAGAAGAAAAACTCTCGAATTTCCTTCTGGTACATTTCGGACATACGGCGCTGACGTCCTCTTCGAGCGTAGCGCAGTCCGTCTTTTGCGTCGCTCCTTGTTTTTTTTTTCTCTTTGTCTTCCAGCGCTGCCACGTTGCTTTTCTCCGAGAAACGAGACGCTTTATCACCCTCGTTATACGCGGTTTGACGTAGCCAGACCCTCATTTTTATGGGCAGTAGCTTTCGGGGGTGGTACTGCTGAAACGATGCTCTTTTCTTCGTCTTTGTATCCTTTGTTCGCGCTTCTCGGTTGTTCCGCGCGTATTTATATATATGTATATATAAATCGTGATAGTCGTTTGATACTGCAGGAAATATCGGATTTTCGCTTCACAATGATCGGCAAATACCTACATTTTCTTCCGAAGGATTTTACACATCTAATAACGACGTGCATACATTTACTTCCGCGGGAATAGGAGGATCGCTTGAGTTGCGGAAATACCTTCAATTCGACGGAACAGCGTGGAAATTTCTTTCGACGCGTCGCTCATGAAAATAAAAAGCCGCACAAACTTGCCGCCCGAGTGCCTCGCAATGACTCGCCTCGACATCTGTATACTTACTCGCTTACAAGCGATAATGCTCTCTCCGCGAAGAGCAGGCTCGATTAAACAACGAGACGTAATGCGAGGAAAAGGCAAAGCGCAGCAGCAGTTGTGCGCGCGAGAGCGACAAAAAGAACAGAACGAGGTGGTCAATTAAAGCAATTCAGCGGGTCATTTGGCTCTCGCGAGTCAAAGAGACAATCCCGAGGAATTTTCGCGAACTCGCGGCGTGCGCGCGTCGGGAAAGAGAGCGAGAGAGAGTGCGGGAGGGGGGGGGGGGGCAGAGAAAGCTCGATTGGCGGCGCGGAGCGGACATCTGGCAGGAAGAGGGCCGGAGAAATGCTCTCCGCTCTCTTGAGACATGCCACACGGCCCCGGACGCGCGCACCCGCGCACACCACTCGGATCCGCGCTACCGAATCGGACAGCTCTCTTCCTTCGACGTTGGCCGAGGCCACGGGGACGCCGAGTAGCGGGCATTGCCTTTGCCTCGGCTTCTTCGCGGCTTTCATCGCATTTCGCCTCTTTTCCTGTCTCGAGGCGTTGTTTGTTTTCACTTGCTTTGCAGGAAAGCTGAGGGGCTTGCGCTCTTTCAGCCGACGGATCGTAAACGACGGACGCAGCCCTCTTTCTGTCTCAGCAATTATTCAGAGCCAATTCTCGAGCCCTCTAACGAGAAGATTGGCCGCAGAGTAAAATATGCGCGGCGGTGTCTTAACGAACAATTCCCTACCGACTTATATGCTAAGTCCTTCTGATTTTCAGTACATCTTCTGACAGGCATTTTGGAAGCTGGCACAGTCGATTACGAATAGCTGTTCCGCCCTTTTGAGAGACGAACGAATCAACCTCCGCGTTGGCAGAAGCCAAATGTTATTAGAAACACAAAAGGAAAAACAGACCAGCCATGAAACCTCTGTCGGTGTGTAAAATAAAAGCGAGCGAAGCACAGGCAAAAGTCGACGCAGCGGAGCGGTTCGTCGAGCGCGCGACTTCCACTTCGCTCGCGTGCTTGTTTATTTCGTTAGGTACGCGCGGCGAGTAATCGGATGTAAAATGCGCCTCTTCGGGCTCGAGGGCGCGCGACGACATTCAGCAGAAGCCCTTTGATACGTCAGCGATGCCTGCGTTTTTTAGGCCCCGTCTATCTTGTAGACCTAAATTGCCTTTTCAAACTTGGATCTGCCGATAAAGCACTTTTACGAGCTAGCTACTGCTACTACATCTTTGTTGGTGGGCTCGAGTGTACGCCAGTTGATTTCCTTCTAACTCCCATTTTTGATACTTTAAGGATCGACCGTATCACCGGTCATTTTGCCGTTTTATATGAACAGAAAACAACATCTAATGTTGGGTTATTGCATAGTTACCACTATTTGGTGAACGTTTACATAAAATAAAATATGCAATATTTTCGAATGTATGTTTCAATGAGTTTCCAGTCAATTTTACCATTTATAATCAATCTTTTTTTAAATTTCAGATTTTTGGTGCTCTGGCAAGGATTCCAACATTCAAATTTATAGCTTTTTTCACGGCAAATGTCCCAGGTTAATTGTTAATGCAACAAAACCATTGTAAGAAAGCCGATTTTTTCCATTAAGGGAAGTCATATAAAACTTTACTATAAATTGCACATTCAGTCGCGTTATCTAGTCGAAATGATCCATTACACTGATTATTTTAAATATTTTATCCAAAACAATAGCTTTATTCAACGTTATAATGTCGACCGGACGATGTCGCGATGATCCTTATCTCTTATTATTTTACATTAACGCTCGCAACGTGTGTCTCTTAACAACATGACAATTGACTATAATAATTGAA